AGCTCACTGGAGCTGCCCACTGTAAAGGGGCTTTGGTCCCAGCAGTGAAAGTCTTGGGTGGTGAGACTGTGACTGCCAGAGTGGCTCCTGAATGGTCAGACACAATAATCTCTTAAGTTTTACCTTTGAGTCTAAATTTAACCACAAGCTTAGACTGTGGCTAAACTAAATCAGTTGACCTGAATGGGTAATTGGAGGATCCAGAAATAACCCCATGACACAGCCTTCTGCTATCAACAAAGAGGTCATCAAGGAGCAAGGCTCTTCAGTGGGGAAGATGAGATACAATGGTGATGAAGCGAAACACCAGAGGCTCAGTTGGCAGACAAAAAAGAAGCCTCTAGCCCATGAGGAGAGCCTGGCAGCAGGGCTAGGATCCAGGAAATCTGTGCTGCCTCCAGCCTTGAGGAATTTTCAGGCCCTGTCTGGGTAATGCCTCAAGGAGCCTGGTAGGACCATACAACTGATCCTGCTGTGGGCAGGGTGTAGGACAGGAGCCTTACTGAGGTCCTGCCAACCTGCATTCCCCTGAGATTTCCCCTGCAGGAGTGCAGATCAGGATACAAACCATGGAGCCACATAGAAAACAAGAATTTATATAAAGACTTATATGTGGAAGGAAGTATTTTCCTGATGTGGTAAGCTGACACATCATAGTTAACTATATGTAAGTATTTATATGCTGTTGTTCATTATATATGAGCAGATAACTACCTTATTTATATCTACACACACTGTAATTAGTTTATTACATAGTAATGCAAGAGGACAGGAAAGAGGAATGGCTCAATGTCTTAAATCATATTCAAAATCATGCCCTAGTTGGCATGATAGAGATTTGGTAGGATAGTTCACACAGGCAAGTACAATCTGTTCAGGAAAGATAGCTAAGACTGAAAGGCTATTTTAAGGATGTTTATTCTTATTATTTAGTCCAGAAGGGCTTTTGGAATCTAGAGTGACTAAGCATTTCTCAGTAAAAGCAATATTGCTGTCACGTAGGGGATTATGGTAGGCTGTAAATAAAGTTGTTAATGGAGATGAGACTTTCTCTGCATGATCAAAGGACTTACCAAAAGCATAAAAACTTCACACTAATAGGAAATTTCAATTACCATTTTGATGAGAAAGTGATACAGAAGGACACAGACTACCCAGAAAGTTCTGGAAAGGTGTTGAAGCACTCTGCATAACATGGAAAAAACACCTGGAAGGTAATGTATTATTTAATTACGGCCACTACAAAAGATATGGCTGAGAATGTGAACACAGAGGACATAATAAGAAAAAAAAAAGACCAACATATAGTCATAAGTTTTAGAAAATAAAGGAGTATTAAAACATATAAGGATATACGTGCAAAAGCTGCTGTACACAGACTAGATATTAAGTTTGATTTACCTTTTTAATTGACAGATCAGTGTTTTTGAGAAGCCAGTTCTAGTAGAGACCTGGCTGAGAGTTTTAATAACATAGCTAGAAAAGTCTATTGATCTGATTAGAGCTCAAACATCTGTAGCTCAGGCAACACACCAGCATCGACATTTAACAGCTGCTTTTTTCAACTGCTCCTGATGTAATTGTTCACGTTAGTTGCTTCATTGTTCACGTTAGTTGAACTCAATAATACAATTGTGAGCGTGAACTGGAGTTCTGGCTGGGGGGAAATTACTGCAATTTTAAGTGAATTGCAATACCCTTGAGCTAGGTACTCAGATAAATTTAACTAATTTAAAGAATTGATTGGTTAATATTAAATTTTCTAATGAAGTTTTCTAAAAATGATGTAAAAATTATTACATATACATAAAGACTAAGGTTAAAAGTAGTGTCTAGGTTCAGTAAAAGAGTAGACAATATTATAGTGGCAGAGCAAAATCATTAATAGGTATTACATTTGTAGGATTTTTTTTTCATCTTAAGAAATCTATAATATGATTGCAGCTGTATTATAGAGGGAATAAAACAAGATATTAATTTTCTTCCATCGTGCACCATTAAATCACACACCACCCAGGTAAAACTGATTGTACATACCTAAAATATTTCTATAGATCACATACTTTGAACTCAAACAGGACTTTTTTGCTATCCTTGTTTAGGTAGTCTGATTTATGGTACTTCTGATACAACTCTGCAATAGTATCCTTTTTTTTCTCATGGGATATTTAATCCAGCTTTTGGTTCTCCCCACCTTTCCAGTTCTTCTGAGAGTCTTTTAAAGGTGGCAGGTATATTTATTGAAGTCATCTGACACAATTACATTCTTATCATATATTATTAAAAAGAAACAAGTTGAGATCTCTTGTCTGTATAATCAGGTGCACTAGTTCAAGACTCAAGATTGTCTGAAAATTTTAAATATTCCATTCTGTCATTTGTTATGCAAGCAGAGTACATTTGACATCTTCCTCTTTGTTCAATCATGTAATTTGAAGATCTCAAAATACAGGCATAGAAAGCAAATTTGGATTAAAAAAGTGTTTTGGAGAGATCCAAAAGTTTTGCCTAGGTGCCTAAGGGAGAGGTACTTAAAAAAGACAGAGTTCCCATTCTAAACTTAAAATCCTTAAAACTCGTTCTTAGTTGAATCTTAATTTTAAGGCCATCTTGATTTCATAGAAATTCCTATTTCTCAGTGCCTATGCACTCCTGTGGCTTTTGTTGTTGCCCCAAAGCATTGGTTGGACTTGATTATCTTAAAGGTCTCTTCCAACCCTGATGATTCGACAATTCTGTGTTTTTACTAGTACATTGCTTGGTGGCTGTTTCAGATGGCAAAGCCCAGTCTGATGCCAGAGAAGTGTTTGTTTTCCTACTTGGCACCCAGTGGCTCTGCATTAGTGGCCCTTAGCTTGGTGAGTGAGGTTGGCAATGGAAAACAGTCACTGAAATGAGTAGTATGCTGCTGTTTGGGTGGGGCATCAAACTATTAGACACTGTTGTTTAATATATTAAGCAAAGCGAACATGGGACAGGCTTCTCACTCTCTCGTCTCACACACCCATATAAAATTGTCTCAGACCAGTCCCAGTCATCACCCCTGTCAGAGTTCAGTCTGGGGACCACGTCCCTTCTTCCCACCTGCCTTACTGTAGGGCTTTTAGGTGGCAGCTCAGTTCCAACATGGAGCAGCTCCACCTCAGTCACATCTACCTCAGCACATCCTGCCTCTGTGTGCTGCTGGACTTTGATAACCCCTACTGTATGCCTTCCTGCTGGATCACAGCACAGTATGCTAGTGCTCTGCTCCCTTCCTGTCTCAAAGCAAGGCTTCACCTTGTCCAGCACAGTCACAGTCCTGGTTGGGCTGCTCCAAATCTGTGCACACTTACCAACCGAGCACACTGGTGGGAGATGCTGACTGACAGGCTCCACAGCCACAGGTCCCCAGGGGCCCAACAGCCCCAACACAGGAGCTAAAGCTCCTCTAGGGCAGGATCATTCATCCATATCATATTGTTCCTTTAATAGCTTGGTTGCCCAGACCCTTGCAACATGGGATGTCCCAAAAGCTATTGTAAAGAGACCACGATATGCCCATATCAACTGCTTTATAGCCCTTGAGTGATATACCTTACAGCAAAGTAATAAAACCTTGCTTAGACCTGAGAAGCAAAGACCATATCCAATGCCTTGATGGTGTGCAAGTGTTCTTTACTGAGATCTTCACAGATTTGAAGTTGCATCTCATAGAGACCTTTTAATATTGGATACCATTATGCTTTCCATTTATTATTCAATTCTTCTGCAAAGAAAAGAATTCTAGTCAAAAGTACGGATGCAAAAAGTAGGGAAGCTCAATTCCACCTATCCAGTCATCAAACTCTGTGTTCATGTTCTAAATAAAACCTCACTCCTGCAGTTCTGGGTTAGAAGCTCAAATACACTTTCTGTAGTTTTTGCTGATGTTTCCTAGCAATTAAAATTTAGTTTAATTAAATAATCTTTTTTTAATGACAGCATTACAAAAAATGAATTAGCTATGTCACCAGTCTTCACCACAGCCATGGTGCAAAAGGATACATACCAAAAAGGTGAGTCCAGGGTTCATAAAGGCCTCATGGAAAGGTCCTCTAATCAATGCCCTTGTAAATGCTTGGTTGTCACACAGCTGCTTCAGAGATGCAGGGATTCCTCCCCCTGCACCTTGCCCCAGCCCTTACACCCCCTGTTGTGTCTGACAGTGAGTAAGCCTTGCTCCCAAAGCTCCAGACTATATGTGCCTTGGGATCTGTGTATGGCATCGACCCGACAGCAATAACTGTGAACAAGAATTACTAAGCGTGCAAACTCTTTTCAAAACCCCCTTGGAGCACAGAATAAAATCTTCAGGTAATTTGCTCTGAGAACAAGATACCTTTTATGTGTGGGAAGGGATAACTGAATTAGTTTAATCATTACTTCCATTACAGTAGAGAAGATTAAGTATATATGTCTGCATGCTTGTATTTGAGTGTGTATTTTCCATTTTGCCACTGAATTTCTCAAAATTTAACAAGAGCATTCAACTCTGTTCAAGGAAAAGTGGTGGTGATTTTCATGTAAAGTCACAGGAAAGTCATAGGGAACGATGACAAAGTAATGCAAATCAAGACATTGGAATTTCTAACAAACTCTTAAGAACTGTAGCCTCTTAAAAGGCAATCTCTCTTAGCCATCTCTGCATTACAGACTCAATCTCTCTAAATACTGAGAACAAAAGGAAGTGCTTCTTCATCCCAAATTAATTAGCTTAATGAAAACAGTTTTTAAAAAATAAATAATTAAACCCCACCTGTCTTATTGTTTAGGGAACACCCAATATACCATCTTTACTTTGGTACAGCTAAGTTTCTTCCAAAAGATAAACACTTCATATGGCTATCCTTGGAAGGTCACAAAGTTGTATGTACTGTGTTCCACCTCTTTAAATAGATTAGTTCTCTTCAGCAGGGACTTAAACACCAGTAACAAATTTTAGGTATTGTATAAAAGAAAATGCTGGCAGGCCTGTGCCATTCATTGTATTTAGTTTTTTTATTTTCACTATCCAAACTCAAAAGAAACACACAGTTAAGTTTCAGGTATTGATACACAGTTTTCTAAAAAATATCCCTTTCATGTTCTCTTCAGTAAACCACGTGCTCAAATGTTTGCAGTTCAACCATAAGTAGCAGGTGCCTTCTCTCCCCCCACTTCCCCACTGCCAAGGGACTTTCTCTACTTTAATATAAAGTACTGTAAAACTCTTATTCAAAAAGAAAAATTCAGAAGAAAAATTCTTAACCAAACACCTTTTCAAAATTGTTGTCTGGCATGGCACAACATTAAGCAGTTTCTTTTGGTATAGTAATTCTTGTAACTTTTTCAGTCAGGTTACGTCTCTGTGAGTATTTTAGACTTAAGGCAGACAATACGCAAGTTTAGAAATACATTAGCATATATTTGTCATGGTATGGCATTTTCAGTAGACATCGTTTTTTCATAATTCATTGCGCATTTCACATTTCAGAAAACTTCTTCAGCGCTGAACTTCAGCCTTTTTCCTTTAGTCTTCTTGATCTACACCTCTACTTTTGCTCTCAGAACTCTATCCTCTGGGTGTTTGTGATCCTGCATTCCTGAAAAGTTACCTTGCTTTACGGAAGAGTCACATTTCTTCATATTTCATACAGTAACATCTTTTCCCACACATTTCAAGGCAACATCTCAACTAAATGCAACGATTAAAAACTTAATTTTGGGAAAAACCACAGTTTTTACATATATTTTTACAGTTAAATTCACCTGCACATTTAGGAACAACTATCTCAACTATGGAAGCTTTTAACCAATACCAGGACTTGACAACAACGTGGGTTTTCTGAAAATTCATTCCTCCTCTGGCTTACTACATGACTGTTGCAAGTTTGTGGAATATATTTTTAAAATAATTTTGAAACTTAACATCTTTATACTGATAGACAACAAACCAATATTATACTACACAATACTTGATTTCAGAGATTCTATAAGATATATTGTGCACTTATAAAAAATTCTTTCACTTCAAATGTAAGTGCAAAGCAATAGTTAATATTTTAATTCTACATTGTAGGAGCAGTCATGTATACATAAACCAGCACTTTTTCTACAAAAACAAAAAAACAAAACAAACAAAACCCAAAACAACAACAACAATAAACCCAAAGCCCATCCATTTGCATTTTGGGTAGCATAATGATTACACTAAAGTATGACAAATGCAATGCCAACTGAATAAAGTTTCTAAAACAAAGAACTTAGGCTGTTAATACACAGGCTATATAAAAATATGACATTAACAATGCTACTGTAGATCTGAGAGCTTTCAAAATACACTGTTTTTTTGTGGGTTTTTTCTGTTTTGTTTTGTTTTTTAAAAAGTTACACCATTGGCAGTAGCAAACTCAGCAAAATCACTGCATTTACATCCTCAACAGCTTTTTGAGAAAACCATTGGGTCTGCTCTGGGATCTCAATATCAACACTGCAGATGACCATACATCCCCCTAGAGTCCTAAGTGCTACTTGGTCCTATTCACCCAGCTAAGAACACTCATACACTCATCACAAATGATCAAGCCCTCTGCACAGGCTTCTGGTTGTTACAAAAGACTATATGTTCCTGACCAACAGCACAAAATTATACTGCAGTGTAAAGATATGGCTTTCTCTAAAAATGATATAGTATCAAAGTAAAAAAAAAATAAAATTCCACAAGACACTTAAAAATTATTGTGGTGTTCAACACTACATTTATGCAATCAAATAGACTATGTAATCAGTCATACTGTAGTAGAACAAGAAAAAGACCTTTTATTCACTTGAAAAAGTAGCAGACTGGAAGATTTCTTCATTGCATTACACAAACTTCCCTGAGATTTTTACATAAATTATGCTTAGTCTACTACATATTGGAAACCAGTTAGCTACTGAGTGTCATACACTGCAGATTTTACATATTTCCTGCATATGTTATCCAGCTAAAATGCTGTTTCAATGCTTTAAAGCTTTATCTCCTTTTGTTACAAAAAACATGAACACACAACTGAGACTACAAATGCAAAGACATTTTTTGCACAAAATTTCAAATCTTCAAAGCAATGTAGAGAAATTGAGAAAACACGTTAAGCTGAACAAAGTACTTCAAAGTTCTTCGCAACTTAAAAACTGACTGAAATTAGTTTGAAAAATCATTTGTGCAAGTGCTTGGTGGCAAGAAAATCAACAGAAATACTTTTAAATGCAATGGGCAGAAAGAGGGCTGATGCTGTTCTCCCTATTTAGCACTCTCCCAAATCTTCGTTCACAAAGCCTAGCCATGAATGAATGAAATGAACTCTCTCATACAATAAGTTGTAATTTTGTAGGAGTGATTGTGGGAGAGAAACATCATAGTGGTACAAAACACTGCTATACTGGCACTATGTTACACTAAATAAGGATTATTTAAAAAAATTTTTAAAAGTCGAGATTCTTAAACTTCTGATAAGATGGATGCAGTTAAGCACAAATCTTAAGGACACCCCACAGTCAAAATAACTCCTCTGTTTAACTGATTCACTGCCACAAATTTTAAAAATGAACACTTGACTTTAAATACAAAGCTGGATGTCAGGTCAGTTTGCCAAGTTGTATATCCCCTTAACTGAACTTCTCTCAGCAGAAGTCCAAGAAGAACAAGGTTTGTACTTTGCAAACAATAATGCTTATGTAAAAACAAACAAACAAACATGATTATTTGAACTAAAAATACACAAACCCTGCAATTTTACTGCTTTGAGATATGAGATTATCCCCAAGTTTCATGCCTGAAGGCAAAACCGAAGCGCTGTCTTGTCCATAAATTTTTGTTAGACTTATTCCAAAATCTGAATTATAGAGAATTCAGGTAGCTCTGATCTCCTTCCAGTTCTCAGTAACTGGAATCATGTTTTTGCCCTCTGCTGATTGTGGAGCAATTGCACTTGTAATTCCTCCTTCCCAACAGTCTCATGTTGGGTATTACCACAGAAAGAAACAGGAGGTAACTTGGGCCACTTCATGACAAAAGAGGCTTGACGTGGTTGTGACTGGCCGTATCAGATACTGGGCCATAAGTATTCTTTTTCTGTACTGGAAGGAAGGTATAAGGTGATCATCTTAACAGCAAAGTAAGGAATTGTGAAATGGAGGGCATTTTCTAGATTTCTAATCCTGCTTTAAAAGTTCCCAATGTGTAGATACACCTATGACTGCATGACAATTACAAAGATGGAGAGAATAAAAGAGCAGCATTTAAAAGCAGTATGTTTAGCTTTTTCTTATTCAAACTGAATACACTGCCTTGTATAAAATGGCTTCACTTCTACATGTTATCACTGTATCTTCAATTCTATAAAGAGAATCTGATACCTACTCAACAAAGGAAAAGATGAGTAAGAAAAAATAGATAACATGTTTGCTTTTTCATTTTTAAATTAAAATTTTCATGTGGATGAGTACATTTTTGGCTCTCCAAAGAATGAACAATTTGCTCCCTTTCTCTCAAAATACTTACAGTACATCACACAGCTTCACACCTCTTTGGATATACTGCTGGCTGATAACTGATTCAGACAGGCACATTAGAAGTTCCTGTGTTACATAAACACTTCTATTTTGTTACACAGAGAAGCCATTTCTGCATCAACAATGAAAATATCATTAAACTGTATTAACAAACAGAAGTCCTTGTGCAACACACAAAACAGGATGCTAAGTCACTATATACTCAGTGTGGAAGGATTTCTAGAAGTCTTTTCTCCGCATCTCCATTTCAACAAGGACATACACTGTCTTTTCATCTCTAAATCTCACTGCATTATAAGTCACCTCTTTTTTGCATTGCCAAGTAAGGCAAATAATGGTGGTGTTGAATGACCATATATTTTATTTAGAAAAGTAATTTCTCTTCCTGTTGAGAATTTCAGCATGTTCTCACAGTAACAAGTATATCCTGATAAAAAAACCCAGCAGGATTCCTCAGCATGCAGATTGAGATAGGATATTTGCCACACAGATTTTACTTCCAGCAAGGATAAGATGCACACATATGTCAATTATACACAGCAGACCAGGTACATTTTGTTCTGCATTCCAACACATCCTCTGAAGGAGGGGTAGTTGTCTCATCCACCCATGTTTTCCCTTATATGATCCACTCGCTGAGCAAGATCCCTAAAGGTGGGACGCTGGGCAACATTATTGTTCCAGCATTCTTTCATGATAGCATAAATCTGCAGAAGAAACAAAGAAAATTGGTAGTAGGTAAACACATAGTGGATATAGTTAATATGGTCCATAGAAGTGGTCCAAAGAATATTCATCTTAACTCCGTGCTTCCAAGCAACAGCTGAAAAAGAGTGCCTAAACTCCTGCTGTACGAATCAGTTTATCTGCTTGATCCCAGTGACAGCAAGAAGTGAGGATAGGTGGCTCTGGAAAAGCCCCTTTATAAAAGACTTTTTTTATGTTAGTAAAACTCAGCTAGTTTTTGAAACTTTTATGAGACTTATGTTATTTTGCTACATTTTTATCTTCTTGCTCGCTCTTATTTTTTAAAAGCTGAGAAGTGTTTAATATGACAAATACAAGTCTGACCAGAAATCGGATTTACAAAGGTAGTAATTCTAAATAAGCTTCCCTGCAAAGTTAACATATACTTCTCTACATTTGTACATTAAATTCCTAATTATCCTTCATACATAATCAGAAATAAGCCAGAAAAGTTACTGTGCAAACTGAGCCCGCTTCTAGTAGAAGTCGATTGAAATTATTTTTGGAAGATATTTCCATTACAATAGTTATTTGGCAACAGTTTTCTCTTTGCTCAAACACGTACCTGATACCTGCTCTCAAACAACTTGTCAAGCTCTTCACCTGTACTCTTCTCTTTAATTCAGTCTAGATCATTATTACCAATTTCTCATACTTTCAGCAATTTTTCACACATTGCTTAAGAACAATCTGTACAACCACCAGGAAAGAAGGCAGAAACTGCTCCTTATTTTTCAGCAAATTTGAAACACCTGCGCTGACCAAGATGCTTCAGCATCAAGTCTTTGCAGGTTGTAAACTACAAGATAAGCTGCTGTAAGCTATAGATATCTGGAAGATTTATTATCTGTGATGGTTGGCCTTTCAGAATCAAAATGGGACAAGCACGGTTTCTGACAGAGAAAAATTTCCACCTTTCTTTGATATCTGGAGAAACGTCAGACATTGAAACCTCTGTGTCAGTCACTTTCAGTGAAACAGATAATGATTATCTTACACATATGACATTCAGATTATCTACAAAAAGCCAAACCTTTGCAATTCAACGGTTGCTGTACTCATACATAAAATGCAAGAAAGGTTACTTCAGAGATTTCTCATTCTCTGTATAGACTTTTTCTACCCACGTGGCTTCCCTGCCCCACTTGCACCCCACTCTATTAGACCACTTGAGCCTGACGTCTCCTCTGTTGCCAATTCTGAATGAATTATTTCTTGATTTATTGTCAAATGCTTGATTTTAAAGGGATGCAGCAATCAATCTCAGCTAGAAGCTACACATTAAAAAACATAGCTATTTTACTTCCTTTTTCTCACTACTGATTCACCTACACAGCCCTACCAGTTTGACTGAACTGACTTTGTGCACAATGCACTGAAGAATAGAGAACTACTAGGCTTAGAAGTAGTATGAAAGTATTTTTTTAGAACATTTGGAGTATTAGCAAAACCAAAAGAACACTGAATTAATTTGTGTGCTCTGAGGACAGCTTTACACATACACTTCAGTATCTGCAAAGAACACGAATACCAATCTGAGGACCCTGACCATACAAAATCTGTTTCACATATTTAACTGTGTCTACTGTCTGCAGGCAGCTCTTGGCTGAAAATACTTAATAGTGAATAATACACATGATAAACATGGCTATTCCTATGTTTGAGGAGGAAAGAGCAAGAGAATGGAAATAATCAAGATAAGGAGTTCTCTAAATTTTGGAATTAAATGTGGAAAACCTTAGGAAGTTAAGATACTACTCCTAAATGTTACAGACTTCAAAAGAATCCATAATTCACAGCTTTGAACGAGAATATTTAAAAGGGTCTTACATGGAACAAGTTCTATACACTAATCTTGTTGCCTTAATAAATGTATCTTTTTGAAATAGAAGCCTGAGTACCCAAGTACAGCAGTCACTCATAATAGCCCCACTTCATGTATTTAGCAAGACTACATTCAAGGCTCCTGACAGAGTGCAAGCTAAAGAATCAGAAAATAAATATGGTTATACTTATCATGCAACAGATAAAACAACAGCACAGCCATTCTGCTTGAATAAATACTTTACTAGTTCCAGCAGAATGAAAAACAAGTCTTGTATTTACCAGGCACTCAACCTAATGGAGCACCTTTCAGTCTATAGTAACATATTAACACAATACTTCACCTCATCAGGACATCCATCTGGTCTTGGTAGTCGTCCATTATTCTTCAAAAGCTCTATCAAATGAAATACAATCATCTGCCCTTGTTTATCATTGCCAATCATGCGCATGAATTCCTGAAACAAAAGGTCAACTGTCATATATAATCTTTAAAGGAAAAAAGATGCTGCAATATTCTTATCAAGGGAAACTTCTTTATAAGAATAGTAAAAATAACTAGAATAATATACAACAATGATAAAATTATAAATTACAAATCCAGAGAACATATCAATAACTACCGATTTTAATTTTTTTAATGTAGAATAATAATATAGAATAGAATAAAATAGCATGATACATACACAATTTAAAGGAAAAAAGTGAAAAATCTTTAAAAATGTTGATGATCATCTGATGATGACAAAGAGACAGACAAAGAGAAGGCTGAGGTTCTCAACGACTTCTATGCCTCAGTCCTCACAGGCAAGTGCTCCAGCCACACCACCCCAAGTTGAGAAAGGCAAATGCAGGGACTGGGAAAATGAAGACCCTATGCCCACCAAGGAGATGATCAGGTTCAAGACCATCTAAGACCTGAATGTATGCAAGTTTGTGGGACCTGATGAGGGAGCTGTCAGACAACATTGCTAAGGTGAAGATTCCGATGATTGGAAAAAGGGAAATATAACCCCAATTTTTAAAAATGGGAAAGTGGAAGACCCAGCAAACTACAGACCAGTCAGTCTCACGTACGCGCCAGGCAAGATCTTGGAGCAGATTCTCCTGGAAACTGTGCTAAGGCACAAGGAAAACAAGGAGGTGATTGGTAACAGCCAACATGGCTTTACCAAGGGCAACAAATTTTCGCCTGACAAATTTGGTGACCTTCTGTGACAGGCCTACAGCATTGGTGAAGAGCGGCATAGCAACTGACATCGTCTACCTGGATATGCAAAGTGTTTGACACTGTCCCACATGACACCCTTGTCTCTACATTAGAGAGACATAGATTTGATGGATGGACCACTTAGTGGGTAAAGAACTGGCTGGATGACTGCATGCAAAGAGTTGTGGCCAATGGCTCACTGTCCCTATGGAGACTGGTGAGGAGTGGTGTCCCTCAGGGTTCGGTACTGGGCCGATACTGTTCAACATCTTTGCTGGCGACATGGACAGCAGGATAGAGTCCACTCTCAGCAAGCTGTGTGGTTCAGTCAACACGCTGGAGGGCAGGGATGCCATCCAGAGGGACCTTGACAGGCTTGAGAGGTGGGCCTGTGTGAACCTCATGAAGTTCAACAAAGCAAAGTGCAAGGTCCTACACTTGGGTCATGACAATCCCAGGCAACACCTACAGGTTGGGTAGAGAAGTGATTGAGAGCAGCCCTGCAGAGAAGGACATGGGGGTGATGATTGATGAAAAACTCAACATGAGTTGGCAGTGTGCGGTCACAGACAAGAAAGCCAATTAAGTCCTGGGCTGCATCAAAAGGAGGTTGAAGGAGGTGATTCTGCCCCTCTACTCTGCTCTTGTGAGACTCCACCTGCAGTACTGAGTAAAGTTCTGGTTTCCTCAACATAGGAAGGAAAGGGAACTGTTCAAGCAAGTCCAGAGGAGGGCCATGAAGTTAATAAGAGGACTGGAGTACCTCCCCTATGAAGACAGACTGAGAAAGTTGGGGTTGTTCAGCCTGGAGAAGAGAAGGTTGCATGGAGACCTCATAGCAACCTTCCAGTGTCTGAAAGGGGTCTACAGGGAAGCTGGAGAGGGACTCTTCATCAGGAACTGCAGTGATAGGACAAGGAATAATGGGTACAATTGAAAGAGGGTAGGTTTAGGTTAGCTATTAGGAAGAAATTCTTTACTGTGAGGGTGTTAAGATTCTGGAACAGGTTGCCCAGGGAAGCTGTGGATGCCCCAACCCTGGAAGTGTTCAAGGCCAGGTTGGATAAGGCCTTGATCAACCTGGTCTAGTGGGAGGTGTTCCTGCACACAGCAGGGTGAGTTTGGACTAGATGATCTTTAAGGTCCCTTTCATTCCTTAACATTCTACGATTCTATGATTAACTGGTTTTAAAAGAATAAGACTCACAGTTGATTCTAATGAGTTCCCTGAAACATTTAAACAAGATCTTGATGCTTTGAAAAATGCCAAACAGAAAACAGATATTATCATATTGATGTATAAAAAAAGGTTAGCAGGACTAATCAGTAACTACTGGGCAGAAAAATTACTATAATTAAAGCCTGCAAAAATGGCTTAGATAAATCTTACTATTCAAAAAATCAACATAACCCAAAAAGAAGATTAAAACCTCACTGAGATTGCCAGAGATCTAGTTAAGGAGGATGTACTAGTAACTGAAAATAATTGATAAGAACAACATAAAGGAATTATTTTTACTCCGATACTACCTAAATTTCCTTAATGGCCCTTGACATGAAAGTGTGAAACAATGGTTGGTTGAATGTGCAAATGGCCAAGTTGGAAAAACCATGTATTACTATAAAGACTCCAAGAGTTAAACAGATCACTTTGGTTAATTTTAACAAATTACCTTTTCTTGATACATACCCATAGGATAACCAACCTGGTGAAGTGGTGAATGCGCATGTAGAAATGATTAATTTCAAGCACAGTCCACCTGAACCCATAACTTACTCTACCACTTTCCCTTTCATAATCCTTCTGAAGAAGAACTCTCGGTGTCTGCAATGTTTATGTTATTATGCTAGAAGAGCTGCCCGTTTTGAGAGCTCTTCTGTGATATCTTTGATAGCTCATTGCATCAAATTACTAAGATGTCCACTGAGCCAATGCAGAAATAGCCAATGCCAGTGCCTATCATCACTATTCAGCTCTCAAAACCACTTTTGCTAGGATGGAATGAGATTCTGGCCAAGGGTAAGGTCAGCTTCAGTAAACATAAAAGTCTCTACTCTCCTTTGTTATGCCTGCAGAAGGTGTATGTTAGATCATTAATCTTATTTCCAGTTGGAGAACTGTTAGTAGTATTTTTCTCCACTCACTGCAAGTTTGTCTTTAAAATGCCTGTCAACACTCTGCAAAAAGCCACTCCCTTTCCTTCACGAACTTCACTAACTTACTAATTTGGGTTCTGGTAACATAACAAGATACCTTTAAGTTATCTTATTTAAATTAATTTAATGTATATGGATTTGTTTAGCTCAGCCTTAAATTTGGAATAGCATTAAAAATACATGTCATCTTTCAGTGAAATGATTGCATCTGGGATAACCCTCCATGAAGGATCGGAAAGAACAACCTATAATAAGATATTTAAAATCTTTATCAAAGACTTAGAAGTTATAGGATGGATAAGATCTGCAGACTGTCAAGTAATTTTCAGATCTCCTTTCCTACTTATGGCTTGATACTAACATCTGTCAGCATGTTATTGCTTCTCATTGGATGCCTCATGAACACTAAAGTATCTCCAGAAAAGGATCAGTAAATATTAACCTATTTAGGTATAGGATCAATCCATATATTCTAGAAAACTTAAAAAAAAAGAAGAAAAATCTCTGAGAACTATTACTATATACTTACAGCTGGTGGGCTTTTGCTTTTGTCAATATAAGTGAAGAGTTCATACAAGACGACACCAAAACTCCACACATCTGAGGCCACAGAAAATTTGCTTTCTGTCAGAGATTCTGGAGCATACCTGCAAACACATGGTAAAAGCAAAATTCCTCTGTGTAATATATGTCTTCTTGGTTTTGAAAACATTTGTCTTAACAAGACTGATTCTTTTTCATGAATAAATGTTCTTTATGCATAGATATTAGCACGTTCTCATTTCCTTCCAGTACCTTCATATAGTAACTATTCCTTTAATAATAGTTAATTGATATTGAAAACCAAATCCACCTTAAACACAGTTATAGATAACTATAACCAAGTTTGACATTTTTTCCAACAAAGTTGTAAATATTTTTCTTATCTATAGTACAAGTAAACAAGATTTTGATGTGATAACACCTGGAAAAAAAGACAATTATAGCCTTTTATCACTTTTAGTGAGCCTTGAACTGTGTCCCAGGTAATTTTGGAATTACAGTGTACATCTCTAATAACATCTACTAAGATGCCATTTTGTATCATTTATCCTTTAGATAAACAGTGCCTAAGGCAGAAATAAAATATAGACTAAAAACACATTTACAGAATGGTATTTTCTTTTGTTATCAAGATATAAAATGGTTTTTATCATAGCTATCTGCCAGTGCATTTTCTAAGCTATTTCTATGTCTTCATAGAACAGAGATTAAGCATATTTCTGGCATTCTGAATACAGTCTACCAACTTGCATTTCATAATCATTCAGTCTCCCAGAGGCTACACTAAGTGTTCTTTTCCTGTTCAGCCAAGTGCAGTTTGTTGGAGCATTGCTGTAATTTGGGGTAACTTCAACCTTCTCTGGAAGCTCAGTGCCAAAATACAGACATCCACCTGAATACTAAATCTCAGCACTTTATTCTTGCTAATTACAAGTGGAGACTTAACCCCACTTGGTCACCAGATGGTTTATCCAACAGGTCTCAGTTAGAAGACACGAATGACCAGTGTTTAGGGAACTGAAAGGTCCAAAAATTTGAAAGCAGCCAGGGGAATAGACCCTTTTAGATTTCCCTTATCTCTTTCCCATTGGATATTATTTCTTTTAAATATGTTGGTATTTTTTAGGAGTTTGTTTGGGATGTTTTTTTGTTTGTTTTTTTTTTTTTAGTATGTTGAAAATTCCCAGATGTTGTTCTATGAAATCAAACATCACGCATGTGACTTTCACAATGCTGGAAAACTGATGTGGAGTTTGCACTTAAAAATTCCATAATATGGAAAACAATTGGCTGAAATGGCAAAAACTGAAAATGCCATTTCACATACCAAAAGAAGACTTACCAAAATATAGGACTTTCACCAGGTTCTTTCACTTTGTAGTATTCTTTGTCTTGTGGCAAGACTTTTGTCAATCCAAAATCTCCAATTTTAACTCTGTTCTCATTCTCCACCAAGATATTTCTTGTTGCTAAATCCCGGTGAACGTACCTTTTCGTACCCAGATACTCCATGCCCTAGGTGTAGGGGTCACAAACATAACAGAAAAAGAGTTACTTTTAACCATTACGTAGCTGCACTTTCCCTAAGAGGATAAATTAACCTCAAAGTTAAAACCAAAACCTAATCATTATTAAAGTCCGTGTGCTTGAACATTTGTCTTCCCTGACGAGTTACTTTTTTCAAGCTCAGGGACTCCCTTAACTGGAGGGACATAAACTGAGCACCTGTCAGAACCAAGTATTTTTTATTGTAGATGGATAGCTGTTACAGCTCCTTTCTGTGGCCAAATGCAGTTTTCTGGTGATATACAGAAGGAAAACAAAACTTGGGCTAAACTACACAATCCAGAGCACATGAGAAAACTGTCCTACCTACCCATTTCATTTACTCTTTTTTTTTCACTTTGTACGTCTACTTTTCTGATTGCTTCCATGAAACTTTATGATTTCTTGAATTTGACAACGATTCTCTGACTGTATTCCCACACATGTGTCTTGTTTCTCTTTTGTATGGATCATTATCCACCAACAGAGTTCTGCTTATTGTTATATTTCCATGGATTGCTGTAATAAAACACTGGTCCACAGCCATGTTGGTTTTTGTTGCTGATGATCCCTTCTTACCAATGCACCTAATTATTTTCGCTAACAATAAAATATGGAAGGAGCCAGTGTGGTATTACTACAACAAGAAGGTCTTGCTTAGACAGCAATGGTAGGCAGAAATTGATTCCACACAACAACCCAAGATACCCAACTCCCATGTGAAAGGAATCACAAAGCAAGCTGTCAGTTTCAGAGTTTCTTAAGAAACCATATCACTCCTTCAACACAATTGAAAAGTAATAAATTACGGTAACAGGGTTGGTGGACTCAAAAGTTTTGAACATCAACATTATACTATTAATGTCAGGTTTATTTCTCTCTCTTTTTTTTTTATGTGAGGAACCTCAGAAAGAGTTTGGCTCTGAAGTGTAACTTTCCTCTCAGACTCCATAACCCCTCAGCACCGCTGGGTGGCATTACTGTTCTCTCACAGCCCATTCCAAGAACAAAACCACTCAAAAATGTCCCATTCTTCACTGCCCACTTACTTACTGCCATCTGGAAAAATACCAAACCTAACTTCTTCAAAATGAGGCTCTCATGTTCCTGGTACATCTAGTCTATGCAAATGCTACAGCTTTTTCTTATTAGTAGGTACTATGCGGAAAACAGCCCTGAAGTTTGATGATAGTAACTTATCTGTTAGCCTGGAAAACACCTAATCTAAGACAGATGTTTAATTGAAGTCATGCAAATTTTAAGTGGAAATCATAATCCTGTGGCACTACTCTCACAGTGGAGTTTAATTATGTGTTTTCAAATGTTTCTATCTTTAAAGTTGTGCTCTTCAGCAAGGACACCTGAAGCATTTTAAGCATTAAGAGATGGGAAAATCCTTTCCCAGTATTGTAGCAAGGAACCAAAACACAGCAAGCAGCCAAACACATTCATCTCAACCGTCAGATATGGGCATGCCTTCATTTCTCTAATACACTTGAGAGGAGAGCAGCAAGGCAGAGGGAGAAAGGTTTTTGATTAAAAACCCCCAAGAATTACAGTGACAGAAATGCACAGCAGAAAAAAGAGATGCAAGATGCTGAAAGAGCAAACATTGTAAGAGAAGGAAAAACAGCTAAAGAGCTAAAAATAGAAGAAAAAGCATTCAGATTCCATTTTCACAGTGTCAGGTACTTACTATGTTTATAATTAAGCTGCTTTGGAGTAACAGAATGCTGCAGATTAGAGTGAAATCTTAAAGCAATCGATATAACCTCTACTTTGCAGGTCATACAGTGCAAAGCAAGGCATGTTCACTGTAACTCTTAGACTTTGCTTCCCCTAGAAGTGAAAACGTATTTCTTTAAGAGCAAGTTCTATGCGGATTTCCCACATTTTCATACTGTTTGTACCCATGGTTTGTCACATGAAAGCAGGATGTTTTTCCCACTTAAGTATGAGACAAGAGGCATATTTTAGCTCCCTTTGTCTCAGCTGGTGCTTAGTACTTAGGAAGCAGTCATTTCATCTGCTATTTTGATTTCTCACCATCCTGAAGACCTGTAATATTTTGAAGATTCTTTTATATATGTATACGTACACACATATCAAGACCCTTTTCCTTTGTACTTTCTGAATTCAACTCCTTTCCCAAAGATTCCTGCCATACTTGCACAGCCTGCAAAGGTCAAAATCCACCTTCCAGTCTTCCCATCAGATACCTCTGTGTCAGAGACCAGGGTCCTGACTTATATTGCCACTATTGCTCCTCCAGGCTTTGAATAAAGGCCTGAAGACTTACATATGCTCCACAGTTTCTTATGAGAGTACACATGGCAGGCACCTTCAGGTCCCTGTTGCATCATTATTCTATGAAAGATGCAGTCACAGTCCTTGGAGTTGGTGCTGAGTATTAAGACTCTTCCAGTTCTGCTTGAACAAAGATTGTTTTCAGTGACTTACCAGCCTAACAGTTATTTTGTTGCAGAAATAATTCTAAGAGAATTTCTTAGGCGTGTTACTGCAGAATGACTTCTTGTTTTGGACACACAGATCAGAGGGCTCTTCAACCCTCTGTGTAGGTGGTCACACGTTCAATTCTTCTTTCTGTGACACTTGCCACAGAAATTGCTAACATTTTCTGTTTTCTCACCTCATTCCCCACAGATTGCCCATCAAGCAGCTTTTGCTGGAGACTACCCACATCATCTTGCTTCAGTGAAGCATGTGAATAAGATAGAAAAGTTGTTAAGTTGCAAGCAACCCTCTGTACATTCACTAGGTCCGGCAGATGAAGAGTTCATGAGTTAGGCCAGTTTCAAGCAGGGAAGTAGCAAGCTCTTTTCACCATGTGGAAGTTTGAATGTCTACAGAAGATCTCGGCTCTGGCAGAGACTCTCTCCTGATTTTTGTAAGGCTTTTTCTGTGGATATTGCAGACAAAACTTTGTTGAAAAACATAAATAATTTGGTATTTCCTACCTTGCATATCTGAGACGCATACAGCAAAAGCTTCTTGTGGTCCAGCCTCTCCTTGTGTTTCTGAAGATAATCTCGTAAACTTCCATATGGCAAATATTCCATAATTAATCTTAGATTCCTACGACCTTTTATAACAACAATAAAAAATGCACTTAATTTTTCTGTAATTTTCCAATGGCAAATTTTTAAATATAATTATTTTAGAACATCAATAGGAGTAACAGAAAATAATCTTAATACTGAAAAATTAAATTCTGATTTGTACATCACTATGCAATTTTTCATATATTACTTAAACGCATTTGCTCAGGAAATGCCACTGATTTAAACTTAACAACAATGTGGATATGCTTGATATACTAGTATATCACTAATCAGGATCATCTCATCAATACTTTAGCTACTATTGGGAAAGAAAAGTAGAAGTGTGTACATGTGTGTTGTCAAGATGAGATGAAACACAATTGCAAGCAACATCAACTTGTCACCAATTTTAACATCTTTAAAAACTTAGCCTGATTTTGAACTCAAGATTTTTCTTTTACAGTAAGATCCTGGGCAGAACTGACACTTTCATTCATTGGCATCACCAATTCACTCAAACAGATCTGTTTCTGAAACTTTTTCTTATACACTCTTTTACTGTACAGGTTGTACTAGAACTTGGTAATATCCACTCTGGAATACTACATTTAGTGAAAAAAACAAGAACAGTTACAAAATGGTGCATTTTTCCCACTTAAACCCTATATTCTTTTCTAGGAAGTCCTTTATGCTTTTACATAAAGCTATGTAAATAGTCAAAACAGTACTCTAAATAAATGAAATTATGCAATAAGCTGACTGAATAAAATGTCCACCTTTTACTGAGATACACAACAGACACTATTTAGTTTGTTTTGTATTCAGTAAGTCCTGGTAAAGCTAGGACAAGTCAGTGACTCTCATAAACACTTACCTCTCTGAATTTCTCGGTAGGCATACTTAGCTGTACACTTGAAGGTGTACTCAATATAGCACATACCTGCACTGTAGCATACTCCTTTGTATTTAACGATGTTATCATGCTGCAGAGACTTAAGTATTTCAATTTCTCTTTCAAAGTCCCTAAGGTGCTCTTCTGTGCTATGTTGCAGCTTTTTCACAGCCACCACTTCTCCGGTATTATCCTGCAGTGGGTCATACCGGCACATCTCAACACTGCCAAAATTTCCCTAGATCACAAATGGAAATACTTGGGAATTAAAAGCAAGTCCACATCATTCTCTCTTTCTTAGTGCTTCTTAGTGTACAGCATTTGTAGTGTTTGTTCAGTGCTCACTGTATTAAGCATTAAGGTGACCATGATTCATTATTTAAGTGAAATGCCACAAAATGTCCCTGAGAGAAATCGGGGTAGTAATCACAGGTATCAGTTCTAAAAGAAACATATTTTATGAAAGGAAGCAAACAGGAAAGGAATGTCCAGGAAATAAGGACAAGAAGAGGGTGTGATGTCCATTCATTTTCTTCCCCTTCCCAAATTTCTACTTGCACTTCCAAACTGTCAGTTGGCATACTCCTTTTCCGGCTCTTGCATAAGTCCCTTCCTCTCAGTCCTTAATTCTCCTCCTTTTCTTGGTTCTGCTTTCTTCTCTTTCTCTGTTTATATTGTCTTTGTCTCCTTTTATGCAGCCAACAGCTACTACTCTGTTGTTCTCCCCATGCTATGCTACCACTTACAGCCAACAATCAGCCAATATGCAAACAGAAGTAGTTCTGCTACTTTGTTTTCAGATTTGCTTCCACTAGTATTTGGAGCCAAAGGAATATATTGCTATCTTATACCAGCAAGGAACCATCCTAGAAAAATGAATGGTCTTGGTGAAGATCTGCCAACTGCAGTTAGTCATCTGTATAGGCATGCTTTCACACAGACAGACTGCAATGACTTCCAAAACTAGTAACCAAATACTGATTTCTAAAGTCCTACATATATCTTGAATACATTATTAAATTCAAGACATCATTAAATTCAGATTTCTCAGAATATGCATGCACAAAAAACCCAATCCCACTAGTGCTGTGCAAGACTGCTCCAGAGTATTGTTAACTGAATACCGAGCATGTGTGTGTGTGTGTGTGTGTGTGTATATATGTGTATATCTATAAAGATTGTGTCAGAGCCAGCTCTTCATTGCAGAAAAATACTCAGGCCTTTTGATGTGACTGGATCCATTGTGGAGGCTAGCTAACTTTCACAGTATCTAAGGATACTGTGAAAGTGAAAAAAGAGAAAAAAGGGACTGCATGTGGTGCTTAGATATGACTGAAATTACTAATTTCTATAACAGAAGTTTTAATGTAAATAATGTATACGGGGTCATAAAAAGATAACTGAAAAACACAGTTATTTCTTAGACTATTAGAGAATTTTAAACAGCCTACCTTGCCAAGTTGCTGTAAAAACTTAAGATGTCTTTCTTCAAATTGTGTTGGGTCCCGATCTTCAAAAGCACCAGAAAATCCAAGTGCTCCAATTCTCATATTTGGCAACATGTCACTTTCTGTCAATAGCTCATAATCTGAGAGGCAGAAGGAAGAAAAGGAGAAAGGGAACAGAAGGCACAGAGTAATGAACAAAAAAAGGAAGAACCTTATTACAGTCAAGGCATGTTCAACCTTTCTTCGGCATCCTCCAACCTCAGTAGAATATTAACAGCCACCTTAATTTCTATATAGTAATTTGCAGTCAAAGACACAGATGTATTGCAAAAAATGTATCAAGAAGGAAGACACCACATGAAAGTGAAGCAATAGGAACCAGGTCTAGCGTGTTCCTGCTGTATCACAGACTCACCTGGAGTGAACAAACTGTTCAAATCACGTATAATTGCCCTAAAAGAAGGCCTGAAATCTGGCTCATAATCCATACAGTTGTTTATAAGGTTTGCAAGTTCTGTCCAGTTGGGGGCAGGAAGCTGGTGCCTATCTTCATAAAACTGTAGTTTCTGGAATTAAATAGATAACTCATTTTACATTTTACAACCATTAGGGGTTACAGAAGCCTTAACATTCTCACCAGAGCAGCCAAAAATTACAGCTCTCAACCTAGGCTTGTTATCTCACTGAATGTATATCTGACCATTTTCCATCAAAAGAAAGGCTGGCATAATTTAGAGCAATCAGTTCAGAAATTTCCAGACAGTTACTGAAGAAAGATAAGAGAGAGATGAGAAAAATAGCACCTCCTTTATTGGTAATTCCATAAAACCCCAACTGGATGGGTCCAGCAGAGAATCGTATTCATCTGTGAAGCTGGTTGAGCTCACAGTTGTAAAGGGCTTCATGATATTATGAAAGAATGTAGACAACAGGAAAGGAGGGCAACTTCTTAAATACTTAGATGGTCTAGGTAACCCTTGGAGCTTATTGTAAGAAGTGATTAAGATACTTGAGAAATCAGATCAGACTTTGTGAGAAGGTTACAGTTCATTTATAAAAATAATAATACAAATCTTTTTGTAGCATAGGAAAGTATTCTTTTTGCTTCCATCTACAGAAGTGAATACATATGAAATAGTATTTTTATGGAATATGTTTTTCCTCCATCCCCTGCCCCTATTTGAGATAAAATTAATATTTCTTGTTTTGCTAAAACAGAATTGTCTGCAACACACAAAGTCTTACAGTATTAAAGATGTTCAATTCCTAGAATAATGTCAATTAAAATCCATGAATATTTTTAGGAATATTTTTTGTTTAAAGTGATACATTGCTACAACAAAGCAACAGAAACATGAACAAGATAAAACTGACAATACTGTACTTTGCCCTCATAAAATCAAAACAAATAACAAAATCAAACTTCAAATCATCTCTTCTGATCATTATATACCAGTAGAAATATCTTTTTCCTACAGTGGTCATGTACTACAACACTTTACATGCTGCTGTAGTTACAACAGCAGATGTTTTAAATTAGAAGTGGTCAAAGAACTGCTATGACTGCAGAGCCAGTAATACTTACCCTTGAAGAATCCAGTGCACTCAGGGGTTTGTCTCCTCCACTGCAGATTTCCCACAAAGTGGTACCAAAACTCCATTTGTCCGTGGCCAGGCTTAGTTGTTTGGGATTCTCAATACATTCAGGAGGAACCCATGGTATTCTCTCAAGAAGAACTGTGCAATCACACCAACGAAACATGTTAAGATGAATAATATAACCAGAAAACTCCATCATATATTTGATTTGGTAAAAATCACTTTTATATACATAAGTATTTCACTCCATAACATGCTTTTAATAGTTTTCCAACTTTTTGTTCCTGCCTAAAAAAGCAAATTAGAGAATATGGACAAAAATAAGAATCAGAGTGGGGCATCATGAGTTTTATTGTAAGATAAGCCTAATGATATTAAATTGCCTTAACACCATTTCCACATTACACTATTTCTCTGATATGTGTATTTCCCACAATGTTACCAAGACTTAGTAGCTACCACAAAGCAACTACATGTCAAAGAGTAAAAATTACTTTTGTAGTGATTGGCACATTATGGCACAGCAAAAGGCACCACGAAAAGGAATTTCATACTATCTGATTATTAAACTATTGATACTGACTGTAGTAACAATTTAAAACATGGGATTGTAGAGATGTGGATCTAGAGCTCCTTAAAATGAGATCACATAAGATTAATGTAGGCTTCACATTAGAACAGGGAGAATTTAAATAGTTTATTGGAAAATGAAGGCACCACATTGCTTATAGGCTCTTAGATGCATTATTTCCTTAGGGATGTATAAGATTGCCAAGTATGAAGTGTTTTAATTTTTCCAAAATTATTAAAAAGGCCACAAAAAGAATAGTAAGGTTACTTCAGTTCCATTAGGATAACAATCTTGTAGATTCTTTGGTTTTATTTAATTATGCTGTTTATAAATCATTGAAACAATCTCAATGGTGGATGATAACCTATTATTTTTAAAGTCATCAACCGGTTCCAGGTATTCACCAAGACATGTACTGAAGATGATTTTTAATTGCCAGTCAGCATTTAAAAGTGTGTTTTCTTTCAGTTCTGAAAGTTTCTCCATGCTCTAAAATGCTCGGTCAATTACAGGACACTAAATTCAGCAGCTACATGCAAATGCAATGGACTATATGATACATTTATATTGTAGCATACCAATAGTACTACCAGTGAAAAGAAGTTGAAAATGAGAATAAGCAGGGGAAAAAAAATCTCACATAATGGAGAATGGTGCCTTTGTTTTCTGTAGTTTATTTCTGATAAAGAAGATACACTCAAAACTGCTTGGCTAGGACTGCAGAGATTATTATAAAATGACAGATAGATAAAGAAACTTACTATAAGAAAAGTACCTTAGATGCTGGTCAGAAAACAAAACCCAACCCCAAACTTATTTTTCAAATCAGAAGCACTGAACAAGAAAGCTGACACGAATACTTACTGTCTCTTGGCAAAACTGTAATACTGATGCCAGGATCACTTAGTTTTATAAATGGAAGGCTTCCAGACTTCCTATCTTCCTCTCTGATAAGCAAGATGTTTTTTGCACAGACATTCCCATGAACAAGGCCTTTATCCTCCTATAAACAGAAATGCATCTTTTACATACTGACAAAAGAGGTCTTTTGGTTGAAGAGGTATGTAAAAACCAATACTGTACAGCATGAGGGAAACATCAGTAAATAAAATAATGATCATAGAATAAGTTTTATCAAACCTCAAACACTTCATCAGTTCCTCTCAAAGTTATGGTTTCCAGTCAATTTTCATTGTCTACCTAAAGTTTCAAGTTTAAAACCATCTGATGTATATTGACTCAGAAGAATATTAATTTATCAGTATTATCCATTAAAATTAATGTAAGAACATTTAAAATTTCTTAAAGGAAAGACTCACCTAGTCACATACCCTGTCTCGGATAAATGGCCTTTATGTTGAATTAAACAAACTGTAAGGTTGGGACCTAATGCCCAAAAAGAATGTATCAGCAGTGTGAACAGTACAGTGTTTTCCCCTCCCAGTGGGTAAGTAATAACACTATGAAGAAATAGTTTATATTCAGCATCATGAGCTTAGGTGAGAAATCCAGAAAAGACTGATTCATGGGGAAAAAAGTAGAAAACACATTTCTGGAAATGTGTTTTTATTTCATGGTAAAACATAGAGTATTAAAAAAGAAGATATAAATCTGCCCTTGCCTAGGTGTAAGCCTAGCCTATTTCAAATACCCTTCAGAGTTTGAAGATTTGGGGTAACAGCTCAGCCTTTCTACATGCATTAGTCTGAAACACTTGAATTAACAAAATTCAACTACTTACCAGAAAATGCATGGCTAATGCCAACTGTTTAGCTACTTCCAGCTTCCACAAAATATTGATAATGTTTTTGTTCTTTTTCAAATATGTGTCCAAGGATCCAAATTTTACATATTCTTGTACAAGGATGTCTGATTTATAATAGTAAAAAAAGTAACAATTAAAAAAACCAACAACAAATAATGAAATTTCAGGACAGATTCATGACTCTTAGTACCACTCTTTTTTGATAGCTTGTTGGTGATTTAACTACAACTTTGAAGCTACATGACATCTGAGTATTGCCACAAATATTCTTCAGCGTGTGGAAGTTTATGTAATTTCGTCTCAAATGCAAAATTACAAGACTTAGTAGCCTTTTAAAAATAAGGTAAAATACAATAAGCATCATTCTACCCTCACTTCAAAGACACAATAAATAATTTTATTACTGACAAAGCATAGTAGTATACAGCAGTGAGTCAAATACCATTCAAGTCATTCACTTCTCTGTTGTTTACAATCTATATTCTTAGTGACAGATACAATGCTTTACTGACAAAAGACGCTCTTAAAAAAAGACTAGTATTGGTACTACATATATATGACATATGTCTCCATGCAGTCACCCAGCAAGTAACTCCAGAAACAAGATCCATTCAAAGCGATGAAGTGTTCTCTTCATCACTTTCAACACAACAATTTCAAATTACAGGACTGAACTCTTGCTCTCAGCTGCAAGATGCTCACATTGCAATAGTAAGCATTTCTTATTTAGTTTCTTATTTAAGCTCTAAAGACACTGGAAACTACTGGTACTATATTTGCCTGTAATAAATAAACTGATTTTTTAACAAATTCATTTTACAGACAGCAAATTTATTCTTTTTTTTTTGCAATTATGTGAAACAATTTTCATCAAATCTGTACATCATGTAAACCACAGAATCAATAACAGCTGCTTCTTCCTTCTTCTTAGTAATTAGCTCTAATTAAATTGTAATATCTTTTGCCTTCAGAAACAGAAGAATCTATAGAAGACAACCATGATCTAAAGGTGAAATAAGTAACTATATATATATATAAATAACTGTTTTTGTCAATTATAAACTTGATCTATCTGAAATTTTATATATAGTCCCTGTGTGGGGTACAGGGACTACAGAAATAGAAAAAAAACTCCTTGGGTTGTTTTTGTAAAGCTTGCACAAGTTCTTAGCAAAGCATAGTGCTGTACCTCTTCCAGCCTTCTAAGAGAGGTAATTCCTGATACAGAACCCACTCTCTCTTTTGGAAATTCTTTCTCTCTAATAATGGCAACCATCTACATAATATGATTATACGATTATTATAAAATGCTTTCTTTCATACAAATTTCTAATCATAGAAAAAAAAGGGTTTAGGGCAAACTGACATTTCTGCCCAAAGACTGCATGAAGAGGAAATACTGCCAAAGTGAGACCCAGCAGTGCATATTTGGAGATAGCATACATGAGCATATGAAAACCATTCAAAATAAAGATTTCATTACAAGACAGTATAAATGTATTTCAGGTGTTCTTAAAAACTCCCCTTATAAATACACAGTCACAAGGTAGCTAAACTGAAAAGACATTCAACTTCTGCAGACAAGGAAAAGATTTTACTGCTGTTAATACTTTGTAATGTTTTTGTTGAAGTAATAGGACCTCATGTTTTCAGAATGGGACCTCTAAATCAAACTTCCCAAAGCTATATTTGTGCTCATGAAGACAGCGCATGTGTGGAAAAGGGTTGCAGTTTCCAATCACAGTAAATGAAGGTTTTTTTGGGTAGCCAAGCACTGCCCTTTCTTGCTAACCACACTTGATACAACATAGGGGGTGCAACTTCTCTGGCATCTCAAAAACTTGTTTCGGAGGTTCAGCAAGACTTTTAAAACGTGAGATCCTCAGACAGAACAGACATGACTCAGTCATTTACAGAGGTTACTATTCACACCGACTGTAGTTAAGACAACGTTTCCCTTTTCTTTGTTATCACCACATCAACTAGTTCTCAGACACCAAGAGGAATACTACTGCAATGTAAACATGTATTAGCTGCCCAGCTGCTGTCTCTAATTGTTTTGTTTTGATGGTTCTTTTCCCCTGCTTTTCCCTGTTTTTTATTCACACCCTAATGAGAGATGTATAAAATCACTACAAAAAGATAATTAATTTCTACTTACTCTCTTCTCCACATACGCAGACTCCATAATTTAACACCAGATGTTTGTAAGAAAGCTGGCTCATCATACTTGCTGCCTCAAAGAAGGACTTTTTGGTAGGGAGTGAGAAAAAATAAATATCAGTGAAAACAAAGCCCTAAAATGCTAATAAATTTATTAAAATCATATGCATTTTTGAAAACATTTCAACTTCTATCTCATTGCAAAGACCCTATGTAACATATTTTATATTGTTTGTTGTTGTTTTATGGAAGTTTTTGTTTGGTTGGTTTTTTTGTTTTGAATTTTCTCAGTTGGGGGGTTTTTTTGTCTATTTTTTTTTTCTAAGTAACTGATAACCCACATTCCAGATGGGTTAGCAATCTCTTTTTTTCTGCAGGCAGATGTATCTCAGCATTTCGAAAGGAATCTTTTCTTCAATGTCATTTAACTTTGAGAAGTTTACAACACACTATTCAGTTTCCAATTTATTTCTTTTTAGCATACTATTAAGTTAAAACACAAGTATTATATAATTCATTCATTACTGCAAGACCTTATCTAACTTTGTCAGGAAAGTTTCAAATGCTTTTATTTCTTTAATAATTTTTTATTCTCTTCAGCAGTATCTCCAAGTACACTTGCTTGTGTACTGATCATTCACCCAACAAAGCAAGGTCAAAATGAGCACATTTTTCCTTCAGAAATATTTTTATTTCTGTACTCACTGAGCTTTTAGTAACTGATTCCACTCAACTGTAAAATGTAAATATATTAGCCATCTTATTAAAATTATAATAGGTTTATGGTTTCTTTATTGTTTTCAATTGTCCAAAGTGTATGGCTACACTGCTTATCAATATTAGCCATCTGAAATGTCTTTCTTTTTTGCTCACATTTTCATATAGATTTGTCTTAAGTAATTGAAAAGTTCAGTAAACAGTATACTGGTTCTCTTGGCTTGCTGTAAATATAGCTAGATTAATTAGGAATTTATATCAATTACATATTTAAATAAACAATAAACAGTCATATGAAGTTATATTAATATAATAAACACCACTACATCTTGTGAAAGTCTGTAAAATAACATACACAATCTTGGGCTCAATTACATCACCAGTGTATTAGTTTTTGCACAAAGGCATTTCAGGTTTGCTAACAGCTTCACTCAAAAAGTGGAAAGCCTCAATGAATATGGGCGAATCTATATATGGCAAGTGTTTCTCATACATAAATACTTCTGATTTTTTATTACTTGATCCAAAATGTTGATTTCACTGGAGAATCTGTATGACTCCAAAACACTGAAAACAGTTTATCCAAAGAAAGTGATTTACCATAAATGCTGGTCCCTCATCTGTATGCAATGTACTGGTTAAGACAATTCTGAGGCCATGCCACCTCTTCTGTGGTAGTTGTATAACTAAACTGTTCTTCAGTTCTCAGTGGGTAGCTCTGAATTCTCTGATGGGTGGTGGGGAGAGGGGAAATAAAATACATAGGTGTACTTCCCAAAGTCAGTCTCAAATCCATACTCCCAGTTTGTCACAAGTCCAAGAATGAGCTTGGTTAAACAATACAGCACTCTACTATATAACACATACTCATTTATTTTAAGAAAAGTAATGCTTTTGACAAATGTTATAGAAGAAATAGCACTAGACACCAACCTCAGAGTAGTTTCTATGCACTTTATCCAGCACCTTTAAAAGAACTTCAGTTTGATGGAGCTGGCCATAGTCTCCCACTTCTTTCCTTACACCTTTGAAAATCTTAGTAAATGTGCCCTGTCCAAGACTCTCCTCCTATAAGAAAGGAAGGATACAGATGGGGAAAAAATCAGAAATATCTGCCTGTTTTGCAAAAGAACTCTTAAAAAAAAATCCCTAATTAACATATATGTAAATCTTTCGAGGTATGCTGGCTGTAGAGTCAAATTGATGGGAAAAGGAAGCAACTGTATCAGAAATATCTTAAATCTTTGATTATTTCTTATTGATTCCTCAAGAATCTCAGAAAATAACTTGCTGCAAGAACCAGAGAGGAAGGAATTGATATTAAATATGTATTTAGATAGCTCTAGAAACAAACAACTGCTATTGCAGTCAAAAGGAAGTTTCTTAATTTTACAGAAGTAATTATTTGCATTGGTGGAAAATGAAAATAAATATTTTGTTTCCACAACTCTAAGAAAAGATCACAGCAAAATCTCCTGGCTCAGATAAGACTCTTTTAAACACATACAGAGGTTTTTAAAACTTGGCATGAATTAAACCCAATATCTGCAGTAGAAAAAGCAACTAATGGACTTACAAATATCAAGTCCTCATTGCGGATTTTGTGAAAGACCATCTGATTGACATTGTTGTGTCTCTGTAGCGTAGGTGATGATGGTACATCAGAAACACTATTGCTTCTGAAGACTAGGAGATTTGATTTATCTGGGAGAAGAAAGAGGGAAAGGAAAACCACAGAAAATTTGTAAAATATAAAACTAAACCAATATAGTTTGAGAAGGATTAATGAGGGGTGGTTAATTCAACTCAAACAAGATATTACATCAATAACAGTTTATTCAAAAGACATGCAATATTTAATTTAATTCAAAGTCTGATATTTTCTCATCAACAAAAGCATCTAGGTTCACCCACTTATTTTATGTTTTTAAGTATTCCTACTTTTGACAAACATTCTGAAAATACTCCTACCTTCTTTCACATTTTAACTGCTGCTGTAATAACAATCAGGGATGGAAAAGGGGATGAAAGTCACCTTCTTTTATATTACAGAGTAGAGCAGGTCTGATACTACAACTAAAGCTGAAAGGTGTATCTTTGTGAGTATCTGGTAACACATGATAATATTTATTCAATAACTTATAATTCTGCTGCATATACATTTTTGGTTTCATACTGAATAAGTCTACAAAATTATTCTCTATAATGTGCATACATATTTACTTGTTAAATCTTTTCAAAGGTTTTGAATCCATTAGCTATTTTCAGTCAAATTTGAGAGGGGCAGAAGTGATATCAAATAGTCTTTTGTCACAACTTTTTCTTTAAGTAGGGACTTTGACAGAGTCTAAGACAAACCAATATTAACTGTAAGTAATACTACTTAGAAGGGCAGATGTTAACAGAATTCATAAAAGAGAAAGATATTAAGAATATTAAAGGTAGGCAAAAAAATTTAACATGAAGCCAAGAAAAATCTACTCCTCAGGTAGAAGCTCTATTCCCTGTGTATTTTTCAGTGTTAAAAAGAAGCTGAAATCACAGCACAGCTTTGGCATAACTCAGTTAAGATGTCAACAATGACAGAAATTCACTGACATTATTGGTTCCATTGCTTATGAAACCATACTCAGTGATAAATGATACATTTAAGTACTCTTTCCTTCTCAAGACATGAACACACTCGACTGAAGAAGAAATGCTGCTGCACACAATCCACTTCAATTAAGAAACCAGTTTTACTTCTAATCATGAAACTGGCTACCATGGTTACTTCTGGAAGACCATCTTATACCAAAATAAAATTTGGCAGGCACTGGGACTGAACACTATGACTAGCAAGACAAACAAATAGCTCAGTGAAATCTAAAAAACCCCACACAAACACAGGTATCTATCTGAGAGTCATTTCTGTTATTTTTAAATCTTTAATCTAGAAGTTGGAAAGCCTTTTGCTTAGAAATAATATTGCTCTTACCTTTGGGTTTTGGAGGACAGCATTTGATGAACTGGAAAATTATGCTGTCTGAACGGACAGTTTCTGTCTGGTAACAGGTCAAGAGATCCTTCAGATTACTAAAACTTCTCTTCGTTCCACTAAGATTATATTCTCCATTCTCATTCTTTGTAATTAAGCAATGCTTATAATCTGTAGTATTGTCACGCTGCAGAGATTTTTTTTCCATTAAAAATAAAATTGATTAATATTTAATATTTGAAAGCTTATTTAAATGTATAGCACTCTATTAATTAAAGAAAGAATGCTTCAGCAAAATATGACCATAATTTGTTATTTTGCTCTCAATATGTAATATTGATTCTGAGAAAACATGACTCTACTCTCATCACTGGAACTAGCATGTTGATGCTAGAGAAAAACAAATGTTAATGAAAGCTGCAAAGATGGAGCTGAGAAAACAGATAATGGATCCTAGGAAAAATCCTTCAGAGCCATTAATGAAAGCTTATTCACTCTGACATTGGGTAATATCAAAACAAAATTTTATTGGAAGCAATAGCCCAAATGGTTCTGCTCCATGTTCTTTTGGCAGGCATTTGGAGATCTCAGCTATAGTTCTGTTTTTCTGTTATCTACCGTACAGTTCTAAGAAATTAGTTCCTAGCACAGATTTTCAATATGCACTGAATTATTCAATGAGTCTTGAAAAGATACCATTAAACATTTTTAAACAAGATAAGCTCTTAATAGTGCGTTCCTGGTTCTTCACCTCAATACTGCAGCAAATGTTCCAACAAAATCTGAATCTCAAAAGCCTTCCAATGACTTCTGCAAGACTCAGAACAAGGGAAGAAAACTTGGGGCCAAGTCACTTAATGGCAATGGTAGGATTCACTCACAAGCTTGACTCTCACTTTTTGCCTCAGAAACCGATAGCTTGGTTTATAAAATTCCTTATCAAACACTTAATTGACTGGACATAACATTTCTGTGAAACTGATGTTTACTTCTTCATTCACACATCAACACTGTTTTCTCATTTTCAGAGATGTACATATCTCTGTCAGTATTAGCAAACACGTTAGCTTGCTGCACACCAGCAGGAAACCCCATGTCCTACCTTGCCTACTTAAAACCCCAAAGGTAGCTCTGTTAATGTAATTAAAGAGAAGCCCACCCTTGGAACAAGACCATGCAATTATGTATCAGCAATATTGAGGTATTGTCTTATCACTAACTGCAATGTCATGTAGGAGGGGTACTTCTCATTCTTTACCTATGTGAGAAGTGCATGCGTTTTCAGGGTGGCTTTCTCTCTAGCTAACACCAGACATCCTCAGAAAACCTGTGCTGACATAACAGCTGACAAATAATATTGCTGGCCCAGTACTGGGGATGGGGACAGGACTCGAACCCAGAAGAACTTGTGAAGGAGACACTCTTGGATAATCAACTCTGTCTAAGTCAGTCCTATTGGTGAGGGGGGAGGAGATATGCAGAAATCCTAGGGAAAAAAGACTCAACTAAAAAAAACCAAATTTAAAAAAAATAAATCCATCAAACTGCTCCAGCTCCCAAATATTTACTACAGTGCCAAGACCCATGTCACCATCCCCAAGTTGTCTTCCCTCTTCCTGTCTTGGTCTCCTAGGCATATGGTATGTGCCATTAGCAATTCTTTACCAAACAAGCACTTTGATGTTGCTCACAAGACCCTGAAGGTTGGCCAGTCTGACAGAAGTAGCTAAGAATACACACATTACACAAACATTCTGGAGGGAAAATTCAGAATCATTTACTGAACACCCCAGGCTTATAATTACATCACAATAAAGATAACAGGCACTATTTAAGGTAGAATACAAACCTCTATAGCAAAGGTAAGGAAGTACTTTTTAAAATCTTTAGGACTGCAGCGAAGAACGTAGAAACCAGTCTGATTACCTGCTTTCTTCAGTTTACTGATAGCGAAGTCCATGCTATAGTAAAAAAAAATGTTTAATATCATATAATTTCAAAATCCACGAATATCAGAGATTGGCTAATGAGCAATATTAACAAATACCTAATTCAAACTTGCAATTTTTTACAGCTTTCTTTAAATTAATCTTTTTCCCCTTTTATTTTTCAATATTTAGGGTGTTTGCTTATGTATTTTGCAAAGTGAAAAATAAGAGGAAAAGCATTTCATGTTACATAAAAGCACATTTTAAGATGTCCATCACAGTTCACAGTCAACTAAAGTTCATCTTTCAAATATCACATTGTTAAATTGCTAAAAAAATTACTTACAAAATTGGTCCATGACAGTTGCTTTGGATATTTTCCAAGACTGATGGTGGTGCTACTTCTTTACAGAGATAATGATGGGCATCTGCAGTTAATCTGTAATATCCATCAATTAATGATACAAAGGAGAGAGCTTCTCTTAACGACTGAAATTCAGCTTCCTGTTAAATTGACACAGAACAATGGTGGAGGGGGAGGAGAGAGAGAATTTAAATTTTTAGTAGGCAACAGAAAATTCCTGGATATGCTAGCAGTATAAAAGCTACACACATATGCATACATTAAAGACATGAATAAAAGTAGTTTTTAACTGCTGTTTGTATGTTCTACCTTCTTGTTGTCACTCAAAACTTTGTAACAATCTTCAATGTTCAAAATCAAACACAAAACAAACAAAACAGAGAAGACGTGGATGCCCTATCCCTGGAAGGGGCTTTGAGCAACCTGCTCTACTGGAAAGTGTCCATGCCCATAGTGGGGGAGTTGGACCTACATGATCTTTAAAGTCCCTTCCAACTCAAACCATCCACGATTCTATGAAATCTGCCATTAAAAAAACCCAAACATCTTACTCTAAATATATGAAACAGCAGAGGAATGCTGACATGAGGACATTTGAAAGGGAAAAACTGAGTAGATACAACTCAGCATGGCAGACACCTACTTCACTGCCAACACAGTGTTTCTCTTCTTCCTAAAGGAGAGCCTTCACTTATCAAAGATTTATATGACTGCTTTCAAGTAGCAAAGAAAAATCTCTAGAAAAGTACCTGCCTGGAAACCTAACTACTAGTCAGCAAAGCCTGGCATCCTGAGCTGGATCATAGAGAGAAGCTCACCTTTGACTACTAGAAAGACAGGTACACTGCATGGAAGCTGGGAGAAAAATAATGTGGGCAAAGGAAAATGGGTGTGGAAAAGGTCTATTCACAGTATAATGAACAGGTAAGAGCAGAGCAAAATTAAATCTGTCTGTAACAACATATTTATTACTGCAAATAAAGAAAAATAGAGAAGCATCTGCCATTTTCTGAGTCACCTTAGATTTCATTCAGTAAGTAGTGCAGCCCAACAGAGTGGGCTTTAGTATGTGCTGCACTAGTTTCCCGGTGACAATGGGGACCCACTTAGCATTTGAAACCAATTCTTTGGCAAGTTCCTTGCTAGACAGCAATTAAAAAAGCTGGTACTTTTGAGCAGGTGCCAAGAATTTGGAGTCTTGAAACTCCTTATTAAGAGGAACAGGAAACAGCCGCAGCCTGTGGTGAAGACAACAGTGAGGCAGGCTGTGCCTCTGCAGCCCATGGAGGTCTACTGTGGAGCAGATATCCACCTGAAGCCCGTGCAGAACACCACGCCGGAGCGTGTGGATTTGCCTCAAGGAGGTAGTGACCCCATGGAAGCCTGCACTGAAACTTGTTTATTGGCACTATGGAGCCACTACGGAGCTGTTCCTGGAGGACTGCAGCCCGTGGAAGGGACGCACGCTGAAGCAGTTCATGAAGAACTGCAGCCTGTGGGAAGGATTCACACTGTATTTTCTCTCCCCTATACAGCTGAGGGAGTGATTAGAGCAGCTTTGGTGGGCACCAGGCATCCAGCCAGGGTCAGTCGACCACACAACTCTGTGACAGTTATACCTGCTGGAAAACCTGACTCAAGTGCAATGTTGGAGTTCAAACAAAAAACCTTTTACATTCGTGTATAAAACACTTTCTTAAGATCTCCTTCAAAGAATCTTAAACAGTAAAAGCAACGACCTTAATTTTGATACTTGGGTATCATCATTCCTTCAGAGAAATTTGAAGCCTTTTTCAATGTGTTGGTCTCTAGCAGAGAGCTTAGCATGATGCCATGGAAACAGTACACTTGAGAATTAAAACAATAGACACAGGTTCAAGACTCTAATAACAAAAGAATCAATCTGTATATCAGAAATTTTCCTCAGATATAAATATCCCTTTCCATGCACAGAGCTTTGAATGCAGAAGACCTTTACTGTTCCAATACACCACTTATGCTGCTGAAATGCATTTAGTTCTACCTCAAGCTTAATTAACACAGTATTTGGCTATAAAATACTAAATACACAACAATCACACAAGTCTGCTCAAAGCAACATCTATTTGAAAGAATAGCAATCAAAGTAAACAGACCAGATTCTTGCTGTCTTGTTTGTGAATAGTGACAATTCTTCTCTCACTGGAGCCTTCTTGGCTTGCTTGTTTAATGCTGACATCAATGATATCAGGAAAATCACAGTACGTTTGTAAATCCTGCAACAAATATTGGGTACATAATGTAGTAATAACATAAATGGCAATTAAAAAACCTCACCTATTTGCAGCATTGGAATTCCTACAATTCTGAACCTGTAAGCTGGCAACAAAGAGGATCATAAAACATTCAACATGCAATTACAAATAAATAAAGGATTTTTGTGTTTATGGAACCATCACTAGGAATGTAACTTAAAGAATATACAGAGATCCAGGAACCGTGAACAGAAATATCCATACATAGGTTTGACTTTTTACAATTGTAGATATTTTTTTCCTCTGTAGTATTTTGCAAGAATTAACAATGGAACATTTTGATTACTGTTTTGAGAGCTACAAAATCTGCTAGCAAAGAGATGGATTTAGTGCAAATGAAGAAACAGTAAGAGAAAGTTGTCCTATCAGCCATGGTCATCACTGACTAGGTAACTTGAAGAACAAATCCTAACTAAACAAAAATCTAAGATACTTTTTTTTTGACAGCAAGTACAGGTACTTTTTGATACTATGATATTCTGTACCACTACTTTCATTCTTTCACAAGTCAAATTACACTGTCATAAAAATCATACTTTGTTTTATTTTCAGTAGAACTTCAGGTGATAAGTAACAGCTCTAAATAAAGCTAGATTTATGTATCCAAAATTATTCTTCCTAAGCAAATAGATTTTATTCAAATCAGACTACCCCAATTAGACACATAAATCATCTCAAATGCATTGAAGTTTCTGATGCTTAATTTGTTCATCTGGTTGTTGAAAATGTGAACTTGCAGAATAAATTTCTTCCCAATTTACCCCACATATGTCATTCTATACAAATAAAAAAAATTTTGTTTTAATTCAACATCTTAATAAATGTTCATCAGTAAAATTTGCTGAAACGAGAGTTATGATCACATTTACAAGCAGCCATACTGGTTCACTGGGTTTTCATAACCAACCTTATAAACAGTTTCTGTACCATTGAAAATATATGAAGTCTCTCTCAATAATGGAATGATAATATTTTTAATTATGAAAAAATAATTTGGCAATCTCTATAGGAAAGATGATCCGCTTAAACACTACTGTTACTAAAGGCTTGGTTGCCAGGCCTAAACAGCATAGTATGCATGAATTGTGTACAAATTATCTAAGAACACCACACTTTAAAAAACCTGGGTATGTAATCAGATTTATTTTTGTTAACTATTGAAAAAAACCTCCAGCATATATTATCTTTACAAATTATTACAGCACACGGGAAAATACAACCTTTTGTAGTTTGGTCTTGACTGCTATATATTATGAATAAAAAGTAGCAAACAGATGCATTTATTTTGGAAAACTCACATGTGCTTCCTTTTGCATTTACTTTTACCTTTGGGAAATTCCTGCACTCTCAACATATACTGCTATAAGTTTGTATCATGTTTTGGTAAACTCAACATAATGAACAGTCACGATGGGAAGTCACACACAAAAGAAATAATACTGTTAAATAAAAACGCAGCAGTACGTGATTACTAACACTTAGAGGAACCATTTAGCATTTAATTCCTGAACAAAGACTAGATGGATTCTGCAGTCACAGAAATGTCACTTTAAATTTGCTAACTCAGATACTGGTAGGAGTCTAGCTGCAGCAGGAAAGAGGTACAGGGAAATTCATCTGGTGTTTGGAGTCTTTAAATCCCTGCTTTCAAAGAGAATTTGAGGAATTTGTGCATTTTATTATACCTGGGGAAGGGTCATTACTTTTCCACATTTTTTACAGTCATGAAGGTCCAGCACAATTTTTTGTATGTCAAGCACTGAACTATTACATGACTTTCTTCTAATACTTCAATAAAGAACTAATTTTAAAATCCTGCACTGTTTAAGACAATATATTTCTGTGATCCTCAGCCATATGGAAATTGTAGCATTACTGTGAAGTACCAAATTTACTTGGGGTAAATTAGAACTTCTAACATAAGCTAATTACTCTGTTATATGACAAACTGCACAGTTATTAAAATAATTCTAAAAAATTACCTGCTCTGCAAGCGTTTCACAGTCTTTAAGTTTTCCTCTCGAACACTGAATTCCACCATTTCCAGTTATGACAATGGTTGCAAAGCTTTCCTCTCCAGGACCTCCACCAGGTTCTTTTACTTCAAAAACCTCTGAATAGAAGGCAGACTGAAGGGTTTCCAGATTTATAAGATACTTAAGTTTCAAGTTTCTGGCAGTAGCTTTACATTGGCCAAACTGTTGTATAAATTTGCGGAACCTGTACCTTATTCTTTTTCGTGTCAAAATGTGGTAGTCTTGGATTTTTGCTCGCACACATTTAGGTAAAAATGTTTTGTAGCTGTGAATACATAATCAGAAAAGAACTACTGATTTTATCCATTAAATACAGCAAAGATCATTACTTCTGTGCTAAACAAGTCAACATGAAAATATCTTTTCCTCTAAATGTACCCTTATTTTTTAAACTGTAGGATAACAAGGATCCTTCAATCTATAGTATGCTCTTTCAAATACAGCCCTGTGTTTTCTTCCATTTTTCCCTTTTCCAGTTGCAACATATATTACATAATGCATTTTCCATAAATCCAGAGATGTCTATTCTTTCGTTAGTTCAGTTTTGAGGTAAGGCAGCAGAAGTTACACAGTTGCTTGGTTTGGTGTAGAAGTTGGAAAGACAATACTGCACAGGTAGGTGCAACTATATGGATAAAGGACAAATTTCTTGGTAGAATACAACACTGTGGTTGGTTATCACTGAAGTTCCTATATCACAGTCCACAGTCTTTATCAGAAGCAAAAGAATTGCAGTTACTAGCTGCAACAAGCTGGCCAATTTGTTTCTCATTCTGTTTTTATCTCTTCCTGTTAGGTCTCATTAAAAGACAAACATCAAGCATTAAGTACCAAGCAGGGACAGAATTAACTCAGCTAGAGTAGAAACTCATTAGGTTGATATACCAAAGTGAATTTTTTTTTCCAGGCTTAGTAACTCAGGCTCCCATATGCCTCCTCTCTCATGTCATATGCTCCAGGCTCTTAACTGTTTTGTGCAGATCTATGCTGAACTTGCTTGAGTTTATCAAATTCACTTTGGTGTATCAACCTGGAGCACATGACATGAGAGAGGAGGCATATGGGAGCCTGAGTTACTAAGCCTGGAAAAATGAAGGCTCAAGTAGGGTGTTCTACTAATTGTCTTCAAGCAACGGAGAGTTACGGAAAAGACTGAATTATAGTTCTCAGATATGCACAGTGAAAGAACAAGAGGCAACAGAGGATTATCAGTATCACAAAGGAAACTCATTAGATACAGAAAAAAATCTTCCTCCACGAGCATGGTCATGCACAGGACAAAGCTGCCCAGAGATATGGTGGAATTTCCAAAGTCTGGACATTTTCTGAACCTTACTGGATGAGGGCCCAAGTAACTTCATCTAACTTTGAAGTTGGCCCTGAACAGGGGGTTGGATCTGATGACTTCCAGAAGGGTGTCTCACCTCAAATTATTGCTTACATACTTTCCCACGTAAGAAGCTGCTGCCTTACTTTTCATTAAGAGAGCCAAATCTATGTCCCCAAAACATGAATGGCCATGATGATATAAGTCTTCTATTAATTTCTAGTTTACACTATAGGTAGATTTATATAACCATTTGAATACATCAATTGCCAGCAGCTAAACATCTCCTCCCAGATGTTAATGTGCAAAAATACTGTTTTTAGATATCAGATAGGTGTGAAAGAGTTATGAATTATGGAGTTACCTGACTGAATTGTAAATAGCCAGTGGGGTTTCGTCCTTTTCTTTGGCCACTCTCATCATATCTAGAACAGCCATTCCAAGGCATTCTTCTTGTGTTTCGTGAGTAACAGGCATCTGTACCCATCCCTCCAAAAAATCAGCTCGCCACTGAGAAAGAACGTAAGAAAGCAAATTAAAACTATAGCACTGCTGCTTATCAATAAAAGGGGCTTGGGCTGCAGTTGTTGGGGGTTTTTTTGTTGTTTTGTTTGATTGTTTAGGTTTGTTTTATTTGGGATTTTTGTTGTTTGTTTTTTTTTAAAGACTCCATTCTTCTGAATGAACTCCTTCATCCACAAAAAGATGCACTTGTTCATAAGCAATACCATCTGCCATCATGCTTACAAATGCCATTTTCAAAATATTTTTGTTTCAAATCTCAAAAAGGTCATTATGGGGAGGATGTTCTACATTGTGTCAGTTCAACCCACATACTCTCACTGCTTCCCCTAAAACTGCCACTGCTTCATCTCTCCAAACATACAATAGGACATGGAATTTAATTTTCATCTCAAGTAGGCTTCAAGTTGTCAAGAGCCTATGCAGTTACTATCAGAAGATAGAAAGGGAATAAATACTGACAACCTTTACCAATCTCCATTAAAAAATAAGCAAGCAAATCATACCTGCGCGAATAGATAAGACATGACAAGATCATCAAGAACAGGGCTTTCTGCACCGCGAAGAATGCCATACCGATACGCTCTGTTGGTGCCACTGCAATACCAGTGCGGAAAATAAAACCTGTTGGGAAACAGATTTAAGGAAAAGTCAATAAACAGATACTTTTGCTTACCAACTTCAGACATCATTGTTCTCACATACATGTAATTAGTGCTGGCTGCTTTGGAGGGCCACTATGAAATCCCAGTAAGTCAACAAAGGCTTCAGACCCAGTTCGTGGTGTCCAACTACTACAACATTTAAGCAGGGTGATAAACCATAGTGATAGGAATGAGGACCTTTGCAAAGTTATTCTCAGAATACAGATAATTTCATTAGTGTCTTCTAGTTTCCTCTGAAACAGTTGCTAAAGAAAAACTCAGGCCACATTATATAATGTAAATAAACAAAATGTTTTACAAAAGGAAAACTTTGACTATTGTTTTAGATGTCTACATTCAAATACGAGGTCGGGAAAAATGGTTCTATTGCAGACACATGCCTGACTACACAGAATAATTACTCTGCATTTTGGAACCATCACTAATTTTAAACAGATAAGCACAGAGGAGATGAGATGCATCGTTATTAAGAAAAATAGTATTTTTACTTCTATATTTTTTACTGTTTGCTTCTTCAACCTGACATTGGGAAATATATGGGATATAGAAAATTGATGAAATATATTATTCAAACCACTCCAATAATTTTGATTCTTTTATCTATCTCTTTTCCAGATAACACCAACAATCTGTTCATATCTTCTAAGAGAAATTATGGTTCAACTTAATATCTTATGGTTGTGTTTTCTCACATAGTTTTCTTTGACCATGAAAGTTGTATAACATTTGATGTAGATTACCTTATCCGGTAAATTAGCTTGAGTCTAGTTGCTTCATCTACATGGAAGGTGTGATTCGGGGGATACCACATTCTATCTGTTTCACTCATGAGCGCAAACATGTTATGGTACACTGGCATGATACCTAAAGGAAGAACAGAGAAGCAAATGTCTATAGGAAAGTGTTTTCACAAAGTATTAGAAAACTATTGATAGTTAAAATTAGCAGATTGGCACAGCGCTCTACTGCTATCAGCAACAGGTATCAATATTGCCAACAGCATTGCAATCATTATCCATAACCTTCAAACTGCTTTTGATAGTTTAATTTCTCATTCTTCCTTTATGTTCACTGATTGCAGACTGTGCTCACCTGTTATCCTGTACTTCACTGTTAGATTGCAAGATTTTTTCTATATGGCATTTAATACAATGTCTTCTTAGCATCTCAGTTTAGAAACAGTAAATTACTTTTTTTTCTTACTTTTTCCAAAATCAGATCAAGGGATTTATTTTAAGACTTTAGACAGATGAAAAATAAGTAGTAAAGCAATACAAAGAAAGTCATCATGAGTAGGACAACCACCTGCCATTTTCATTTTAGTAACTCAGTTAAAAACAAAACCAAACATGTATTGTTAATAAAACGGAACTGGAAAATATTTTTTCCCTCAACAATTTAGGATTTTGTTAATGACAAGCAATCCTACTTAATCACAAACTCTGGAAATCAGTTGAGCATCAGCTCCTCAGCAGTACCAGAATTTTAATTTGGCTCTGAGGTTCCCAGCTGAAAGCACAGGCTAACAGACAACAGATGCCACAGCATTGTATTATGCTGCAGTGTTGTGCATCCATGTGATGCCAGGGTTAGATTTGGAAAACAGGCTAAATGCCAGAGAATTGACAGCACAAAAGGATGAACTGCAAACACTGACAAACATATTCTGAAGACAGAAAGAGGCACAGGTGCAGAGGTGAGACAGTAGGATGAAAAATTACAATGTCAAAGTCATAGTAAGTCATAACTAAAGAAAACTTTCCATTAAAGCAATACACTTTGGGGTGAAAAGGAAAAAAATAATAAAAAAGACAGGTAAAGGCAATAAAAGTAACTTGAAATTACATTAGGAGACAAAAGAATTATGGGAAAAGGCAAAGTACACACAGCCCTAACCAAAGACTCAGAATTAAATAATTGAAATTCCCACACTAAACCAGGAGAAAAAAGAAATCCTTTATTTCTTTCTGTTCTGGACACCATCTAGGTAATTATTGAAGGGGGCAGACCCCAGATTTCTCTCATCACATCTAAACTACATGTAAAACAATCTGTTAGATGAAACAACTAATCAACTCCACATATAAAACCACATACCCTTGTAGAACAAAACATATTTCATTCTTAAATAACAACTAGTTTATTAAATTTGATACAGAATAAGTTTGTCTCTGTAGGGGTAGAGTAAAAAGGCTAAGACAAGAGTTCTATTGTGCAGTTGTGAAGATTAAACTGCTGAAATCGATAGGCCAATCATCTGATGCTTTCTTAAACCAAAGCTCACCAAAACATACCAGAACTGCAGGTCCTAACACATGATTTTCTATGGAAAGGAGTCATAGACTTACAGGAAACTACAGAAGTGGAAAGAATTCCGTAAAGCAACAAAAGAGAAACCAAAACTAAACAAATCCTCCACAGGAACAAACCCAAAGGGATTAGTAACTGAAGGACTGACTGTAAATCTAAATGTTGCAAATCTAAGGCACAATAAAACATATTTGATCAATCCAAATTATGAGAAATATTTTATGGAGTTAAAAAGAAACCTATCCCAAAAACTCAACATGGCTCTCTTTTGATGTGTGAAGTGGGATCAACTACACTACACTACATATCAGTTGTCTATAAAGCAGTTACAATTAACTTGGCAGTTTTAAGGCTGTGTGGTGTCTGTATCCCAAATAATTTCAGATCAATTACAGTGCAATGCATGTGAGAATTACTAGCCAGGCCTCTACACAAATGCCACACACTTTTCAAGGAAATCCTGAATATTTACCTCGTCTCACTAACACATATACCCAAACAGCTAACAAGCCCTGTAAGCACACTGTATGAGAAAAAATTTCCAAGTCATATTCTTAAATTCAAGTGTTAAGCTTCTGTATCTCACCAAATACGTTACAGGCATCCCCACCACCACTCTGCTTCTCAAAAAGACCCACAGCAAAATCCTTTCTGAAACTTTAACTAAGCAAAGATCATGACATTCATACTCCATTCCCAATAAAAAATGTTAACATTAACAACAACAAAAATCCTCCCTGTTGTCCTCCTTTGTATGAAAAGTAAACTGCACTCATCCGTCTCTCATACTTTGGCATTTATAGTTCCAAATGGTACCTTGCACCATACAGTGCCAGTGCTCAAAGACATACAGATCTTTTTTTCATGAAAAGGAATCACACCTTTTTTTCCCTTCCCCTTAAGAACTACGCGATTTCACTGCTACACTTACTGCTCAACAATTATAAAAAAATAGAGTAAATCCCTTTATTAGAGTCTTGAAAATAATTCACAGGAATCTGACAAAAGCAAAGAGGCCATGTAATTGCAGGGACTTTTCAAGTGAGTAATAACTGCAGTATTTAAGTGCTCTCTCCTGAAACAAGGAAAAAAAAAAGACTTGAGTGGGGAATCAAAGTCTTCTGTTGAAACCTAGACATGTCAACAATAGTGAAAACTTCTGAGAAATGTATTTTTCTAAGTAAAATCATAAAAGCTATTCACAAGAGGAACTGAAAAGCCTCCCCTGGATTTTTGCACTGCACTAACCATGTTATCAAATCAGTCAATGACAAATTAGAGAGAAGACAGTGAGTCAGACGTAATTAAGCAGACTTTTTTCCACTTTGCTTCTCCAGCAAGGGCTGTCAAATTTTCTGGACTATTGCAAAGACAAAAACAAAGACTATCTCTTGACAATTTATTTAGTACATAAGGCTAAAGAAAGGAGTCTTGTCATCCTTTACAGTCTGTCAAGTACATCATATGGAAGACTACAAAACAGCGTAAGCTCATTCCTCAAACTTCAATTTCAAGACTAAAAAAAAACGATTTGCAAAGTAGTTTGATCTTTTCCTCATTATGATTTTAGAGTTTCACATCCAGACAAGTCACACTACTTCATTTACCCTGAAGCAGCTAAGGAAATACAGTTTTTCTATACTTTCTCCTTTGTTGGCATTAGGCACTCTTTCTCCCATGCAGTAGGTTTTCATAAAGTAATGTCCTTCTTTAAAGAAAAAATAAAAAACATAAAGTGTAAGTCACAACAAGCCATGACACCACTATGAAATGTGAAAGCCAAGCACAGTCTATAGTAGATATAGTTTTACAAAACTGTCATTTCAAGCATGTAAGTCATTAGACATATACAGATAAAAAGAATTAATTGAATGATTAAAAACAATTTAAAAAAATCTCAAATTTTCAAAGTCTAATACGAATATTAGTCAGTTTTCACACACAACTGGAAGTAAACTCTTTAAAACTTAGGAAGTTCTGCACATACCAGATGGAAATTTGCTTCCCTTTTCTTACATTAAAATAATATCTTCCTCTCATCTGTCATACAAACCAGAGGCTTACTGAACTCTGACATCACATTTAATGTCACTATCCTGCCAACAAAATGCTTTCCGAATAGTAAATCAAAGCACACGTTTCCTTTTCTAGAAAAACAGAATTGCCCAGAGTTCTGTTTAATTCATTCCTTACTTACGGTGGGGGAGCTGCAGGGGGCACCATGTTCTGTGTGGATATTCAGGAAATGTAAAGGAATAAAAAATGCCAAACTAAAACAAACAAACAAACAAAAAAAGACAAACCCAAAGCAAAACAAATCCACCAAACCAAACCAAAAAACTCCAACCAAAAAAAAAACCCCCCAATGATTAATTAAAATGAATGATAACTCTGAGCCATGTGAACTCAGAGTCATGTGAATTCTGGAAATTCAGCATGTTAGGGAAAATCCGCTTAAAATTCCCTTGTTAGCAGCAAGACATCTCTTCTGAAGCATACAAGCAAAGAGGTCATCACAATCATCACATTATGCAACACAGTTGCTCTCTTGAAAATGTTTAATTGACTGCAAATGCTGTCAGCACTTAGTCACATTAAAAGTTTTGAAATAATACTTTTACTTTAGTATAATTAAAAATTTTCTGCAATATTATGGTTTTCCAAGAGACACCACCATTTTTCTTAGAAAGTAACATGGAATTTCCAATTTACTTGCAAATCAGATGAGTGAGAATTAAAAGGTTCCTAGCTGGAGTTTTGGGATATCAACATCAAAAAAAACCCCCACAACAAACACAGAAGCCAACAAATTCAAGGTCTTTTGTTAACTGCTAGCTGCCCAAAACTCAGCAAACCTGTCAGGATTGCAAAACTCATTCTGTCTTGAGATTCTAGTTCCATTAAAAAGGTAAGATTCCAGAGTTTAATGATCCTAACAGAAAGGGATGAGGACATGAGAATAAAAGCCTGTCAGACAGTAAATAAAGTCAAACACATCCTACAGAAATTTAGGATTCTTATACACCTAGGGACAAGCTATGAGAGAAACGCAAGATGCTAAACAAGATTATGCTCCCGGTTGACTCTGTCAAAACATTTTTCAGTGAGCTGTTCAATTGTTCTTGTGAGATTTAAAGTGACTATCTCTGCTTACTTTGCTACTAATGTATTAAGATTTTCAAGAACATGGCATAAATTTATTTGGCTAATACCAAAGCAGTGCTTTGCTTGTCATTATAACTGCTTTAATCATGATTTACAAACTCACTTATCTAGTGTTGTTTAAAAATATCTACACTTTGTTAACCTGAATTCAGCAAAAATCTGGATTATACATACAAGTGATGCACATATTTTTTACTCATATTTTTCAGCCAATGGAATAAACAAATTGTTAGTTTGAATATTAAAAGAAAATTATTTTTCCGTGTAATACTCATCTTCTGTATAATGTATTATTCTGGTAAGTTATAGTGTACAGTCCAAAGTTGTTTAGTTTTTTAAATTACTTTATCTAATGATAAATACTCTGTCTGAAAAGACACTGGGAAGTATCTGATTGCAGAATTATTGATATAGCATAGTAACACATGCAGTATACAAATCAACTAACTTTCTTTCTGTATACAAAAAAATACATTCAAGATTCAAATTCAGACTTCAAATGTTTCCAGTAGTTGGTATCTGATTTACCTACAACACAACAAAACTCAATTCATGTCATTTTCAATTACGCATGCTAATTTTTAAACACAGATTTCTAGGTTTTGTTCACACTTTGAATAAAAGAAAAATTATGAACAAAGTTTACAGCTTTTCTGCAAACAATCATATTTATTTTGTAAAGTATAACATTAGGTTCACATTATCATTCTCTTGCACCAGCTCTGGTGGCTTTCTTGAATCATTACTTCTGCTTTTGTTCAAATGGCCTTGACTGCCTGACACTTCTATAAACTGATTGTAAAGACATTAAAAAACAGCTTAAAAGAGAAATTCCATTTAAGATTTTTTGAGAGAGATCAGAAAAGATCAAAAGGTTTAAGATCATGATTTGAGAAAACAAGTCTTTGATTCTCTAGAACAATTTCTCCTTCATATTTCATATCTACCAACATTTGGTTCCTCTAATACCACTTTGTCCCTCAGGCTGAGAGCAATGACTTTTATTTTTTTTGGTGTGACATTTATTTTTTACACAGCAATTAACATACCAGCTAACATACAAGAACTGAACCACGACTGACTAGTCAATTTAAAATTAATTTCAAGACACTTCATTTATTCTTGTGTTTCTACTTGGAAAAAATTCAGTTTCATGTTCAGGCAGTTTTCTGTAAAAAAAATATAAACTACAAAAGTTTCACACATTAAATTTTTCAAAAAATTGATTTTTAAATAAAATGTTTTTAAAAAGGCTGAGCTCTTGCATGCATGCATCAAACTGGCATTCAATTACAGAATAACATTTTGACAGACTAATATTTATATTAGCCAATATATGCCAAATACAACAGGTGTTAAAATACACTACCCTGCTATTTACAGACTTCATTTCCTAAATGATTACGAAAATCATTAATCACAAACACAAGAAGTCATATTATATCTAACAGAACAGTAACCATCTGCAAAGTAATCAAGCACGTATAATACACAACACATGCATTACTTCCAGGACCAATCTCTTTTGCAGGGGTGCATCAGAAAGTAATTTCCAGGCTCCTGCAGTGATTTAACTATCCGAGCTATATCTCAGCCCAATGAAAGAAGACTTCCAGGCAAAGGATAGGGATAAATACCCTCAAATTATTTGATAAAGGATAGCAGTCACCTAATTCAGTTTCACAACTGTTCTAATGGAAACAGTTTTACAGCCTGGTGCTAATTACTTCTGAAAGAACAGCGAAATTAGCCTTTTGATTCAAAAGCCACTATTTTCATGAGCTCTGGATAGTTAAAAACTTTCTTCTATGAAGCTGAGTTTCACCAATTCATTAAGTAAACTGGTATGTATATACTTACCACAGGCTTTACAGGCAACAGCGCAAAGCTCTTCTGCAACATATTCTCCAGCTGGAAATTGAAGGTAATCTTCTCCTGTCTTCCCAGGAGAATGATAAAGGTACACTTGAAGTAATGGTTCTGTCTGCCTGGGTGCACTGGTATTTCCATGGATGTCACCATTCTGGTGGACAGAAGCAGTTGCTGTGCTTTCCATATTTGTCATTGTAAGACAAGCCATAGTTCGTTTTGGTTCTGTTCAGAGCATTTGCCTACAAGAAATGTAAGAAGTACTTCTTGACTAACTTTACTTGGTTTTGTTCGTAATACTCCTATTTAATGACAGTACTGTTCTGATACAGGAAAAACATTAACTCCTGTTAATGAGATCTGAGAATTAACACCTGAGAATGACTTAGGTCATTTACTAAAAGCTAAGTTTCTCTTTGATTTACTATATAGCCCTAGATGAAGAGTAACAGACATTATTACAGGAGAAAACAAAATATTAATTGGGAGTCCAACTAGAGAATTATTACCTATCACTGGATTTTAGACAGTGTGTGCTCATCTGTCCAATTAAAACATGCTAGTTAAACCTGAAAGGCAAAAGAAGCCCTTTAATCACATCTGTACAGCTCATTATACTCCCAGTTTAAACACAACTATTGTACCGAGAACTTAGAAGATATAACAGCTAGCTGACTCTGATGAAGAGAAGGGTAGCCATAGCACCCTTCATGTGAGTTTTACTCTTAAGCCGACACTTAAAAGAAAACATGTTGAGATGAGAATCTAAGTAAGCAGACTTGGTTTGTACCTATGGGGGGGACTTCTAAGACCACCTCCTTTCAGAATAATCATTTAAGTCTATTCTTAAGGAACTCAAGCTAACAATCCTCTCGGTTAAATGTAATTAAAGAGAAGAAGACACTAATAATTCAATATATAACCAGGAGTATATTTGATAATGAAAAGTTTAAAAAAGAGATTGGACACCATATTCTAAAAGCCAGTTAAAGAATGTCTTTGCTTTTCTGTGACTCCATCACAATTTCATCAGTATAGACCACGCTTATCATAAAAACTTTGATCACAGTCTATAATAAGGTTTGCTTTTATTAAAACTGATTCCAAGTAACTACGACTTGGAATTCTGCATTTCATATTTTGAAAATGCAGAATAGGTCTAAACAAGACATCAGTCATAAAGACTTGATTTTTTAGACTTTTAGAATCATAAAATGGTTTGGGCCACAATAAGGTCTCCCTGAGGCCTTCTCTTTGGGCTGAATAACCTCAACTCTCTCAGCCTTTCCTCACGGAAGGGTCAGCCCCCTGATCATTTTTGTGGCCTTCTCTGGACTCGCTCCACTCTGGTCCGTGTCATTCCTATGCTATGACCGCCAAAACTGAAAGCAGGACTGCAAGTGCAGACTCACAAGAGCAGAGCATAGGAGAGGAGGAGAATCGCATCCCTTGACCTGATGGCCATGGTTTCTTTTTAGGCTGCAAGTGCACACTGCCAGCTCACGTCTCACTTTTCATCTATCAGGATCCCCAAGTCCTTATCCACAGGGCTGCTCTCAATCCATTCATTCCCCAGCCCATATTGATACTGGAGATTGCCCCAACCCAGGTGCAGGACCAGGTGCTCTTTGCCTTGTTAGACTTCATGAGGTTCCCACAGGCCCACTTCTCAAGCCTGTCAATGTTCCTCTGGATGGTACCTTCCCTCAAGCCCATCAGCTGCAATAGTCAGCTTGATGTGTTTCCCAAACTTGCTAAGGGTGCATATGTCACTGACAAAGATATTGAACAGTTAATAAAGATATTGAACTTGAAAATGCTACTATTTAACTCAAAAATATATTTATTGTTTTACATAGGTAGATGGGAGTGACATTCTTAAAATGCAACTTTCAACAGCTTTTGTTTATATTGAATTGTGTTGCTCTATCATAAAAGAGCTGTTTGGAACATGGTGATTTTTTTTTTTTAATTATTTGCTGCTCCTAACTACAATTACGTAGAAAAGGATGAGTGTATGACTATACATTTATGTGGGCTAAAGATGACGTGTGCTACAGAAATCAACAGTTATAACAGCAGGGAAAAAAAGGCTAAATACCTTAAAAAAGAAAAACATTAACTTCATGAGTTATGTGATAGAACACATACAGAAGATAAAGCCATTTTACCGTGATGGTAATTCTGGGGAAAAGAAAAAAAGACACCTCACCAAAAGAAAAATGCAGAATTTTACTTCCCAAACTAAGCAACAAAAAGAGACAGTGTATCATAAACATATAAATCTTAAAGTCTAGATGCAAATGCCATTCACTACATTCCTTAGGCCCTGATCTAGGGGAGATATGGATTCCCTATGCCGCATTTATAGAGTCAGCCACCCTTAAATGAGAAGATTTGTGCTTTTAGCTCCAAAGGTAGCAAAGGTAACAAGGAAGTATTCAATTAAGGAAAAAAAATGTATCTCCCTTGACTCATCATATAATTCTTGGTTTTTAGAAGAAAAAAACCATCACATCTCTAAAAGCATAATATTTAAAAGACTTCTCACTACTTCTGTCAAGAATATGAAAGATGTAATGATTGTGATCTACCACTTGCTTTTACAAAATATTCACAGCTTTTATCTCCAGAGGAATTCTTCTTTAATTACTACAGAAGTTTCCCTCAAATATTCCAATATTAACCTTCTGATGATATGAACCTTCACCTGGACTGACAGATGCCTTCATCTTAGTTCGTTGGTATTATGTCTAACCAACACTGAATGGAAATATTGTTGGTACACCTAACTAAAAATGTGACCAATTTCAAAAGTGAACTAAACAGACATGCTTGTGCCTCGCTCTTCTTCATAAAGTTTGCGTATTTACAAACACACGTTTCCTTTCAAAAAAACTTATCATTCCCTCTTGGTTTCTACATTAAAAAACTCAATAAACCACAAAGGGAACCTTGCTTAATCACACCTAAGAATGAGAAATATCAATAAAATGTGGTAAAAAATGCAAAGTAAAAACTGTAACAGAGTATTCCACTCAGGTTTTTTTGTTGCACTAATTTCAAAGGCTCTATGTAACTACGTGAAAAAATCTCAAGAGATACTATTTGTACAATTGCATCACCACTTCAAATTAAATAATTTTCAAGTTTCAAATTTGTCTTTTATGTCCAAGTGCAGACAAAAGAGGTAAAAGCAAGAAATATTCTTACATCAGTTTATTTGCTGAAAAACAGAAAACACATTTTCATGGCCTCTATCTTATACATATAACAATCAGTTTCATGGACAGGGCCTTATATGCAAAGTAACTGAAACACATGGTCACTACTCACCAATGGTGTGAAAAACAAAAGAAAACTGCTTTCACGTGTATTTCTTAGCAAACAAGTCTCCAGTTGAACACAGTTAGTCTTCCCTGCTTTGCTCCATCCAGAGATCCCTGTATTAGCACAACAGAAGCATTAAACATGGCAAAAAAAATAACTGCTGTTGATCCAGAATATTTAAAATATGACCTAGTCTTCTGACTATTGTAAAAGTTGAGCAACTTGAGACTAAACATACTGGGAGACACTAATGTACCTTGCAGAATACCTTTGAGTATTACTTTCTAGGGTATACAGATTTGTTATCATACTGTAATTCAAAAGAATTTCTGTGTTTGGGTAAAGAATGTAAATGTAAATAATCCTCACAGCTGAATAAAAAGGATTTAATATATCCAGAATGGGTCTTTTGTAGATAAGTTACTCAGCACCACAAAAGCATCTGTTTGCCAAAAAGTACCAAGTCCACACACATCTTAAAGTGGATGTTTGACATAATCAAGAAGTGAAAAAGAAAAACGGCCTATCCAATCATCCATATAACAAGAATGGGTAACAGAATCAGGGATATTAAGATCTTGTTTGGGAGATCAAAGCTACTAAGTATAAAAGATCTGATTCTGGCACTGATGAACAGATGATTTGAACCAACAGGATTATTTTAATATTCCTAATCTGGATAATATTTCAAGCCACAGCTTTTACAGGATAAGATTAATCATTCCCCATATTGCTCTAACCACAATCACCAGCATCTACAATGTAAGCTGTTTACATACACTCTGTTGCTGTCTGTACCTCCAATGCACCTGACAATAATTTTTACCAGGTACCCTCGGCTGCACTAATTCATACGGTTCTTTGTAAACTGACCAGCAAGAAATTAATTAAGGAGACTGAAAACAATGACTTATGGAAGAAATTTCACTAAAATGTGGAGGACATACAAAAGTCTCGCAATTTAATAATATGCAGAATTCACTGCCCCATTCAGAATATGTTTTCAATTTAGGGGGGTTTTTTTGTTGTTTTAATTTTTCGTGTTTGTTTGGGGCTTTTTTTTGAGGCAGTAGAGGGGTGTTTTAGGGAAACCTTCAGGGCTAGGATCATTAGCCTTCAGAGGTTCAAAGATGAGTGTGTTCTCTCACTATTGATAAATTTCCAACAGTTAATTACCTTTTTATCACTAGAGAAATCTCTGTATTATACATGGGAGTGATGAAGCCCTTTAAATAAGCATGTCACAAGTCACTCGCTGCTGGAATCCACAGAAAGTCAGACAAAGCAGGCACATAAGCAGTGGTGGGACATAATGTATCTGTAATAAAAACAGAATATTAAAAAAAAGGTTAATGGCTGTAAGCAATATGTAATGCATCATTACTGAAGAATTCAAATCTGTGTTTAGATACAGATAATGATCCACTCCTATTTTATTTGCCGAGATTCCTGTCTGACAAGAACTTTTTAAATTCAGGCTTTTTTAAATACACAGTAAAAAAAAAATAAATCTAAAAATATATTTTTGATACTGATACTGCTTCTCAGTTCTAGCAAGAAAGTGCTGTGTAAATCAGAAACTTGACCATATATGTATTTACCAACTTTTTTTGCTCTAACCATGTTTTTCTTTTCTGTGAATACAGCATCAGTTTAAGAAACTGTATACGGCATTACACGAAGAAAATAGAAACGAAAAAGGAAAAGTAATCACAAAAACAGATATGGTATGTTCACTTCACGTAGTAGCACTCCCTTTAACCAGAACAATTAATTCTGTTTGAAAACTGACAACAAGCACTCATTTAAATTCATATGGAAGTTAAGACCAACTGTCTTGTTGCAGGAAGGACAAGGGCACACCCACCCTTGCTCTCTTTGCACAACATTTCTGTGGTTGCAGGAAACTCCATTTGAAAGCACTTAAGTACAACAGCAGCTTCCTGCAGCAATGAAAAAAGAAAGATTCCCTTTGTAACCCTCCCACACAAGAAAGGGCCTGACAGAGAGGCAAAAATTCATTTTAAAACTGAATAAAGGGGGAAAAATACAATGGAAGTTCAAAGGAGGCAGAATTCAGAATGGGAGCACTCTGCAAGTTTTGTTTGATGACTCTTCAGACAGGTATTTCCCTGAACTGAAGACATACAGCTTCCTCAGTGTTGTGTCTACTGAGTCTGTCACAAATATCACACACTCTCCCCGTCCCCCCCCAAAAAAGAACCCATTTCAATGAGCAGTAAATTCAGCTTCTTTCCCCACAGAAGTCAGAGTGAATGGCAATGATTAGTGTTTCTGCCCTTGCAATACTAGCTTTAGAGATAAGAAGTTTTGCCTTTCTTGGACGGCTGTATATTTCATATGCACCTCCAGGTGCTTCAGATCATACCAGGATCTGATCCAAAGTCCTATACAGTCAATGCAAGTTTTCCAGACCTCTGCTGAAGTGCCAGAGGGAGAGAGGGAGGGTTGTTTGAGGCAGAGTCGCCTATCACTGACCTACTGAGCACACATTCCACACACACTGATCTGAGCACCAGCTTCAAATGAAGGAGAGACCCACCACCTGTTCATGCAGGTTTCAGATCAAGAGGCACTGTGGGAGTTCTAAATTATTTTCTATTTTAAAAGTACTGTTTGATGCTCAGAACTGCCTTGCATTCATAATTCCCAGTCAGGCTTTTTACTTCGAGAAAAACTGCATGAATATTTACCTGTGTTAAACTACGTAGTTTTCCACAAGCCCAGTAGAATAAGGGTTGCAACACTTTGAATAAGCTCAGTGACACTACAGTTTGCATTTCAAATGCAAAATATTGATAAAGCAGCCTAATATCAAGTCTATTCTTCATATGACAAACAAAAATGATTGCTGGCTTATGAAAGAGCAGTTTATATCTCTGGATAAGAAGCATGGAAACTCAGAGATGAAAACCAAGCTGAACAGGTTCAGGGTGGTCATAGTAACGTATTTCTCTCTTTCTCTCCTTTTTTTTTTTTCAAGAGAGAATCAACTTTTTCTTCAGCACACATGTAATGAAATACTCATTTACAGGATCTGCATCAAGGCCTTATAAAACTATTCGGTTCACATACTTCCAGGCTGAATAAGTCTTATCTGACACAACTTATTCTTTCAGCAGCAGAGTTGCTGTACCAATCTCACAGAGCACCATCTTGCCAATGACCTCTTTCCCTCTGATTTATTCAAGTCTACACCAGCTTACATTTCTGGCAGCTGCAAGGATTTAAATGCCAATTTAAAAACTAACTTAAGACTCTAATGAAACTCCGTCAAAATACATTAGTCCATCATCTCCAAGTTAACACTCTCTGCAAAGAACACAATACAGAATTTGTTATGCAGATGAGATTCTACAATCTGAAACAGTCACTTTTCAGCAAGCCACCAGAACTGCTATAAACACAATTAGTGTTTGTGCCTATGTCACCAACTACTCTGTTTACTAGAGAGAGAAGAAAGATTAAAAAGCATTTTCCATTGACAAGTAAGGTCTTGAAGACATAGGCTGTCTCCCAACAACTCAATATGTTTATTGCCAGTAAACTGAAAATGACAGCCATGTGCACACTTTCCATCTGCTTATACACACATCTTTCTCTCAAGGAATTTGAATGAACATTGCAAACATCAATCATGAAAGCCTTCCCAAGTAATGCTGGGTAGGTGTTTAAGATTGTAGCAAAGTATCACCGAAAGTGCTAACAGGTCTTACATCAGTCAGTAGCGGTAGAACATCACTAGGTTCCAAAGAGTAAGTGTTATGCTATAAGACCACCAAAATAAAGTTTTTACCTCTAGACCCAAACTTAGACTAAGAAAAAAAGTCAGTCATTTTCCCACTTACAGTTGTTTTGGCTAGTGCATTTGTTTTATATTTAATATGTATACTTAATATTTAATTATAGTCTTCACAGTTCGGTTTGAATACACAAACAAACTTTGTTTTGTTAACTGTACTGAATTCAGCTTAATAGCTTCAGATCATGAAATATGTGTTAATTAGTGGTGCCTAAGTCTTCCTTAATTGATCTTTTGATTTCTTCAAGAAAGACATAAAATAGGAATTGCCAATGCTCCTGTGTGCACAGAGCAAATTAGTTCAAAGTAAAAAGGAAGATTCCTTGCCACTAGTCTCATTCTGTCTCATTCTGCCTCATTCTGTGGCTTTTGTTTAAAAAAAACTAGCAAACCACTGTCCTATATTGAACAACTAAAGCACTTGTTTCTATGTAAAAATGACAACCAGTGCATTTCCAAAAAAATCAGGAGACAATAAAAAAAGGTTAAACAAAAAAATAACATTTCAACGCGGAAAAAATATTCTGACACCACTAAAACAGAAAAAAGTATTTTTTCTATTGAAAGACATTTTTATTAAAAATACCAGGTAGATAAAAACCCTCCAATGACTTCTAGAGAATACTTAAGACAGTTACAGCTATACTCACAAGTTAAAACAAATATTTAAAGTCTAAACAAAACAAAAAAGTACAACAGCAACAGCAGTGAAGTCTGTCAAATTACTTGACTTTCTTAAACATTGCAAGATTGAAACAGTGGGGAAGTAATGCTGGAAAACACTTTTGAAGGAAGAAATTCTTTTCCAAATGCAATTCGCATAATTGAAGAGCGATTTGTCAAAACATGAACCAACACTTGTTGCTACAATTCTGCAGGGCCAAAGAATAGCATCAACAGTTGCAAAACAGATGCCAGTTTATCAGCGTGGCCCAGCAGACACCAGCTGTATCACAAATATTTCAAAACTGTTACTCTTCTCTCAGCCTTCTGTCCTTTCTCCTGTGGCAGGCAGGGATTTCTCAGTTAAATGTCAGTTCTCAACAGCTTAACTATGGAAGAACGAGAACAGCCAAGACCCACTACTTGCTGTAGTGTGGTACCTCTGAAGGATGTCAGACCTTTGACAAAGTTTTTAATCCTCTCCAACTACAGATGTGCTCTGGAGTTCTGAGCCTATAAAAAAGGTACCTTCTAGGCAAATAACAATGCAATAGTTTCATCAATCAGAGTTATATACTGGCATAAAATACAAGGTTCTCTTCCTTCACAGAAGGCAAAGGATTTCTCTCAGCAAACATTTCTGTGAGGAAAACCAGTCATAACTCTTTCCAGCTGCCATTGGCTATTCAGATAAATGGCCCAGCTTGCATTTGTTCAGGAAGCTTTTTCAAAGACCTGGATTTTAAAAATTTTAACTCTTTTGGATTTTCCTCCTTAATTGTCTCTCTTTTCTTGCACTCTTATCTCACTTCCCCAGTCTGGCAACTTCCCGCCTCAGAGCTTCGTAAAACTACTGCAGTAACTGTCAAATGTGTTTACACTGTGCAGACACTCAAGAGGACTGAAGAGCTAGAATTTTACTGTAAAACAGCAGCAGAAGATTATGGGGCAGGGTGAAAGGGCAGTAACCCCAGGAAGTCTCCTGCAGGCAAGTAGGAGGTACACAAAAGGAGGAAGGGACAATATAAAGACAAGAAGTATTAAAAAAATGTTTAAAAACCTCCTTTCTCCTTCATGGTTTAAGTGACTTTCATTTTATGGCTTTTCTCTTCCAACACAGATTGAATATAGCAACATAAAAAAAAACCAAACACCAAACAAAAACCTTAAACAAAAGAAGTGGGGAATGAATGAAGTATAGAAAGATCCTGATTACTAGCCAAGTATTAGAACGGCTTAAGAAAAAACTGTTACTCAAACCTCAAAGACAGATCAAGAAAATTTGCAGTCACTATGTGAAAAATAATTGCACAGAACAGTATCACTGTGCCTCTTTATTCTATTGTTCTAGATGAAAAGGCACGTCCAGTTTCCACCATGGCTGAAACTGCCACTCTTTGCTAAACTTCTAAATATCTACCTTTAGAGACTAAAAGTACACTTTTACACTTTGTGATACAGGGTAAAGTATCATGGGTAAAGTATCATGGAGAATATAATCACAATCCCAACCAGCTCTTCTGTCTACAAAAAGAGAAAATAAAAAAAGATCTACTATGTTCTTCACAGTATTGTATTTGTATAATGTACTGTTTCCACTTTTGTGGGTTCTTTGGTTTCTTTCCTCTCCAAGTTTTCACCACCTGACAGAAGCAAAGGGTAAAGTAGTCTTGGACAAGAAAATTGCATAATATGCTGCATGATAAAACACACGTGATCTTGTTTCCTGTAACATTTGTTCTGTGAAAAATATGGGGAAGAGCAAGTCTAGTAAATCTGAGACAGAGCCATTAAAAAATGGGAAAACATCTGGATGAAGGAAGTCTTCTATC